TAAAACCGAACCATTGGACAAGATTCAAAGTCCTAAATATGGTATCGGCAAAATAGTGTAATCAGCCATTGAACTGTTCACAATGTACAAAATACATGATACAGGTGTCCGAAAGAGTAAGCTTACCCTGTCTGGCGCAGACAATGTTTTCATTTTGAGTAAATGTTTATTGTTTATTCATTTTGAGTTTAATGTTTATTGTTTGCAATGTCTGTATAGTGTTCTTCTCGTGTCCGTAAGTTTGTTTCATGTAATTGCTTATGTGTGGTGCGGTCCTCCTGCATGTACTATTACGATATATGTATGCTGCTGTGTCACGCCAATCAATGCTAAGTACTACAGGATTACAAGTTCTACAGGAATACGATCCGTAAATCAACAACTTCTATCATTTTGTGTCAATAACTGGTGAGATCCACAACAAACTTTGTTTGTATTATAGTTGAGGGTTTGGGTGACCGTGGGGTTAACGCGTGCACGTTGAAACAGGGGATCTGTCATTGAGTCAAATGGCGAAGTTCTGATTCCCCACTTGTACGTGACACGCGGATTATTGAAATAGAATTGAACCATATGTTATTCCCAAAATGACGTAGATTGTGTCAATTATGCAAGAGCTAAATCTGTCTATTGCAGGCAGATTTAGATCTTGCATAATGTATGTTTAACAGACGACCCTAGTCGAATTACGAAAATCAACTGGTTCCCTAGAACATTTGTGGATAGATAATTGTTTCAGAGGTCCAATTAACACAGTTACAAATGGATTCAATATCCCTTAAATGACGATCGATCCTTTTTAGTTATTGCCATTAGTAAAAGATTTATCTCGATTTGTTTAATACAATTTGTAATAAATTGGCTCCTTCACATCAATCTCTTAAATGACAATATTGGTGTCAGTCATTATTACATATGTGATAGAACTGGTTAAATACATTCCAAATATAATTTTAACACATTGCTACGGGAGATGCGTAACAAGCACGTGAAGAAACACGAGTTGTCTTTCTATATAACAGACTGAAGTAACGAGCGATAACAGACAAACGATCGAATTTCATTTCACTGATAATTCCGTTGAAGTTGAAAAGTTGTTATATGGGACGGTGAGAGGGTATCTCACAATTCAAAAATAGAATTGGCTGTCACTAGATAAGGGACACGAGAAAAATAGAAAAAACCCGTGCATTCCCCCGTATTTATTCATTCTGTTCTTAATAAAAACATGGTAATGCACGGGCTTTTTCTAGTTTGTTCGTTATCTTTTATCTACTGACAGCCAATTCTTTTTTTGAACTGTCAGATATCCTCTCATCGTCTCATATAACAACTTTTCATCTTCATCTGAATTATCAGTGAAATAAAATTCGATCGTTTGTCTGTTACCGCTCGTTACTTCAGTCAGTTATATAGACGTATAACTCGTGTTTGTCATGTTTGGCGTCACTTCCCGTTTCTTCACGTGCCTGTTACTCATCTCCCGTAGCAATGATCTCTGTGTTAAAATTATATTGTCCTTTAATACGACCCCTTTGCCCCAGTTCCTTTAACTTGTATTTCATTATGGAGAAGGTCATAAAATATTAATTCTGAAATTCGATATTAATAGTTATCGTATATTAGTTTTGTAAATGATCCAAAACATCTTCGATTTATTATCAGTCGATCAAACAAAATAACAACACGTCCCAGAAAAAATGAGTCGAGAATATATCGATATCTAGATATTAAACACGGGTTGTTGAATTAAACAAACATTATGCAAGAGCTAAATCTGCCTATTGCAGTTCTTCCTTTATTCCTGAAATGTTACATAAACTATTAGTTAGACATTTACTAACAAAGTAAGACCCTAATCAACTCTCGATGCCATCGGATTGTCCAATTTTAAGTAGATTAATGATTTAATTTTGAAATGGTGAAGCGAGACTAAGCCTCAAACAACCAGTACTGTGGTTACAATCAGTGCACACATCTTGTCAAACCTCCAAAGGCTAATATCTTCGTGCAGAATCAATTAATTTGAGTGATTTTGCATTACCGGACTATTATAGCAAGAACGATTAGCTCTTTATCTAAATCTTACGTAATGTATCTTTAATATTATTGGTTAGGAGAACTGATTTTGTCATGATTTTCAGGGAAGCGATTTGTTGATTTTTGACCTATAAGAAATATTTAAACGGTAATAGTCTCTTTAAAAGTACATACCAAAAACACAAGTTCCAACGTACTGGATGAACAATTGTGACGTCATATCAAGTATGGGGGCCAGTTGTCCGAAGAACAAGTATGATAGGTCTCGTGTTCATCGCACTTGAATCGGCGGAAACTTTGGCTTTTTTGGAAAGCGTTTCCCGAAGAACAAGAAGACGGTGTCAGACCTTGAGGGTTTTCTCCGGGTCCTCCGGTTTCTTCTCACTGCTAAAGAGAGAGAGAGGGGGGGGGCAGAGGGCGAGAGTTTAACGTCCACTCGACACAAACTAGGTCATTCCGGGCCCAGCACATGGTTCAATTTTATTTCAATAATTCGCTTGCGCGTAGGGGTCTTTAGCAGTGTGAGGAAACCGGAGGACCCGGAGAAAACCCACGAGGTTGTACAGGCGATCCTACTCCTTGTCACCTACATGTACAACCGAGGAATCGAAACCACGCCAGTTGACTCAATGACAGACATTATAATACACTTGCTAACCATTCGGCCATCCACCCCCTCCCCTCACTGCCAAAGACCTTACGCACAAGCACATTATTGGAATAACATTGTACCATATGTTAGTCCCGAAATAAACTAGTTTTTGATCAAGTGGGCGTTAAACCCCATTTCTCACCCGGGAAGACTATTGTGTCTCTTTCAATTTCAGGTTTGTCAGAATGGTGGCTCTATAGTAACTTCATTTTGTTTGTGTGTTAACAGTTATGTTGGAACATATTGTGAGAGATTAATGCGAGGTTTGTATTGTGCCTTATATTGGGTGACCCACACAAAAACGAATACATTATTTAAAGCATGGGCGGATCCAGGAATTTTTGCAGGTTCACCTTAAGAAAATTTGACAGTTGACAATGCATGATGTCATCATCGTCTCTAAATTACATAGGTATACATATACACTAAGCTTTTTAAAGAGAGATTTCTAACACCCCGCTTGAAGTCAACTTTTATAATGAATTAACATGATCACACTGTGAATCAATTTTATTGATGCAAAGCATTAATTGTGATATCACACATGTCTGTATCATTATTTCACGCTTTGAATGCCTACCACATCCCACCATCTGATGATAAAGGTCTAAAACACAGGACCGTAAAAGAATGCCAATTCTGTTTTGCCAGAATGATAACTCACGTCAGACTCGACCTCGGTTTATATAAAACACATTGTCAATATGTGCCCATTCTGGAAATGAAACGAAATGTGAAGACACCATGAAGGAAATTTTGCCAGGGCAGCGGCACTATGTGATCTTTTACGTGCACGCCAGTGTATACACAGGACCTCGGTTTTTTGTCCTATCCGAACGACTAGACAGCTGTTCTTGTCAGGCACCACTGACAAGGGGAAACAACGTCGGAAAATCCCGATGAACTTTCTCGGCCAATGCAAGGATCGAACACGCAACGACCAGGCTAGCGAGCCAGCGTCTTACCCACTTAGCCACCGTAGCTCCCCGATCGTTCTGGGCCACCTGATATATATTTTTTGGGACTATATAGTTCGGTTACATGAATGCCCATAACTGGAACATGATGATTTACCCGAAACCACCCAATACCACCCAATACTAACCCAATACTACCAAATAACACCACATACTACCTCATTATTATGAAAAACTGACAGAATACTTCGATTATATTAAAATGAGTTGCAAAAATACACGGCAAATATGATGGTCAGTGTCTCGCCATTCCACGAATAAGTTTTTCGGGTTTTTTGTTTTGGTGGGGAGGGGCATATAATTCAATTATTCTGTCAGGTATTCACAATAATGGGGTGTAGCACCATGTAGCATTGTGTTTTCAGTAACCATATATATTCAACATTTTAAACGCCAGCTGGACCAGAATGTGTTTTTTTCAGTGGAAGGGAGATAACTACTGTTTACCTTGTGGATGCAGACCACAAAATGTTTCACATGTGTTGGGTTTGTCCGGAATTGTGTTTAAATATCAGCGGTTTCTAAGCGTAGGGCATATTGAACACAACCTATAAACCAAAGCTGAGCAAAAAAAAAGAATTAATTGCAAGGATATAAGATGTAGTGTATTTTATAGAATTGCCGTGTTCCCAATACGTACTCTGATAAACCTACACTTTGAAGTGATCAAACTGAAATACGCTTTAATCGACCTGCAACTTGAAGGAATAAACCTTAGATGAACAACAATCAGCATGAAATGTGCAGGGATTATTTTCTCGCAGTCGTAATAAAGTTTTCATATATGGTCTTAAACATACATTATGCAAGAACTAAATCTGTCTGTTGCAGTTCTTTCTTTTGGCCTGAAATGCTATATAAATTATTAATTAGACATTATTAACATGAAAAGACGTTAATCAACTCTCGATTCCATCATTTGTGTCGTATTTTCGCTGGATTTAAATCCAATCTGCTGGTCAACGCTTATTGATGATTAAATCCAAAAATGGATAATCGAGACTAATTTTGTTATCGTACCGACTTTAGTAAAGATGATCGAGGCTATGCCTAAAATTCAATCGCTAATATCTCGATTTAGAGTGAAGCAATTTGACTGAAATTTTCAGCACATCCCCTTTACATTATCAAGTCTTTAACTATTATAGTGAGAACTGCCAGCTCTTTATCTAATCTTCAATATGCCCCTTTAAACTTTTCTCTGACTGTAAATGCTACTCTCTGTTACAGATTGTGCGGAAGGATTTTCTTCGCCACATGGGTACACCACCCACGGTATCTACACAGTACAACCGGTACTATCACCAACATCATTTCAAGTGTACTGTGAGATGAAAAGCAGCGGGGGTCGAACTCTGTTACAGCACCACGAATCGTCGTCCTTCTATTTCAACCGAACATGGCAGGAATACAAAGATGGTTTTGGTTCTCTGACCAGTGATCATTGGTTGGGTTTGGACAAGCTCTACTACCTGACCAACAGTAGGGATTACACTGCTGTGTTCTATATGAAGCTTGATAACTCAACGTCATATCATCACTATTTTGATGGATTCGTCGTGAAGAATGAGACCAGCTATTATCAAATGACATTTAACTTTGCACACCCGCATTCCATCAACACTTTGGGAGATAGTTTAACGGCGGTAAAGAATCAATATTTTAGCACTTACGATAACGACAACGACAACAGCAGCAGAAACTGTGCTTTAGACATGAGAAGTGGGTGGTGGTATAATGACTGCGCACCTTGCAATCCTAATGGAGAACTATTGAAGCCCAGTGATTCGTTAAAAACAACCGATTATGAAGTGTTCTGGACCTACGATTTACAGAATGTTGTCCCGGTTCAAGTTCAGATTTGGTTAATGGTCTAAAGATATGATTTACTTTTATTTGTGTTTTGTGTCACAGATGTACTTTTGTTCTGGAAAAAGGAGGCTTATAATTCAACAAGATACATATCTATATGGAAGACCAAACAGCACTTTATTATTTTCTTTTATTTACTAAAATAAATTTTATCTTTATATTAAAATATAATTAAATTAAACAAAAATAAATTTTACAAATGTCTGATTTGTAAAACAAATATTGATTTTAAGATGGAACAGATCATATTGTTTATGAGGTTTAGTGTCCTACTGTTCTGAATCAACTAGGGAGAGGGGTTTTACATAGGCTAAGTCTATTCCCCAATCCCATTGGGACATCCTGAATAAAAATAGGCTTATGAATACGGACGTGTGCTATGCAGTGTGATATACGGGATGTTGTGCCCGGACAGCTACAAGGTGGCTTAAACTAATTTCTAATATCAATTAGCAAAGGTTTCAATTTCACTTCCATGTCATAAAACAATCCACTTTGTTTTTCGGAGACAGAATGTGGCTCCTATTTGAGCTTTTAGAAGTATCTATACCATAAGACAGCCCAATCTGATTTTCGAGCTTGAATAACGAATAACAAAAAAAACGTGTTTCGTTATTCGGGATTCAAATTTTGAATAACGAGAAAGAATGTTTTTCGTTATTCGGGATTGAAATAAATTATTTTTTTCTAAGACAATACCCAGAATCGGCGTAAAATGTGACCATGTCGTTGTAAACGATGATCATTTTCTAGATTAGTACACTCTTCTGTACTGGATGCCCTTGGATAATTGTTTTGCGGAGAATATGGGTGGGTGTTGAGTTCGAAACTGCAATTTGGGAAATACAAAACGTAGTGTTCGACTTTAGAGAATGGTAATCTGCTCTATTGTTCAATACACTTAACAGAAAATAAATATCTTAAGGGGGCTTTTAAAGGGCCCTTTCTTATCAAGGGATTCAGTTAAATTAACAATGGGAAACCAGACCGGATGATCCCGAGAAACGTCCTAGGCCACAACCAGGATCAATCCTCGTCAGTCAGCCAGCGCCCTACTCACTGAGCCACGTATCTTACCGCCGGTTCCTTCCGCAAGAAATTTATGAATATTCACCAAAACCTGGAAAACTCTTTTTTGATTTTCGGCCGCACAAAGTTTATAAAGATTGTTATACAAAAAGCACTTAAAAGCAATAAGGAGAGAGAGAGAGAGAGAGAGAGAGAGAGAGGGTTTAAAGTCAAACTAGGTCATTCGGAACTAACACATGGTTCAATTTTATTTCAATAATTCGCTTGCGCGTAGGGGTCTTTATCAGTGGGAGGAAATCGAAGGACCCGGGGAAAACCTACGAGTTTGTACTGGCGACCCTACTCCTTTCACGCACAACCGGGGATTCGAAACCACGTTTCCCGCACCGGCCAGTTAATCATATCATCTCTAAGCAAGAAAACGTTTATATCTTCACTCATGCTACGCATTCGTAAAAAAATATAAGTTTTCTTGCTTCTCGATGAAATAAAATATGTTATTCACTCTAAAACGACAAATATCCTCTACTATCAAAAACACACTTTTATGGATAACAATTACTATGGTTTATTTCACTGCGACGTTTCAAAAAGGTTTCACAAGTCGTTATCAAGCATATACACAAAAAGATAAAAAATGAGAAAGATATGAATATAAATATACAAACATCAGTGCGAACTATCCAATAGAATGCAAGGTGAGTGAGCATGATTAGCTATAACAAGCTATTGATGTAACAAAGGTGCATAATCGTATATATTAGAATTGGCTTATTGTACAATTAAAAGATGAAACAGGGGATTAACCAAGATTAACAAATATTGAAACCATACACAGTGTACCATAACGGAAACCAGTATATACTAAGATTACTAAATAAATATACAAGAAGATCAAACTGGGGGTTTATAGAATTATATCGAAACCATAATGTTTACATTGATTATAACAGTTAAGAAATATAGAAATTTACGGTTATGTTTTAAAGTTAAGTAATAAGTTGCATATATGTATTTACAAGGTGACTACATATTAAAGGGTTGAATAAAATATAAATAAATAAGGATAAATTAAGCAGAATGCCCTATGATGAAACCTTTTTATAATTATAAATATGAGAGGTATGATATATTGTAATTGAGTTACATAACATAAAATACTGTGAATAGCTAAATAAATTATAGAAAATAATTGAAACATACAAATTTTACATATTGATAACAGAGGATTATAAAATGTGAGGGTTGTGGGTATGGAATATACAATGAATTCGGTATTGGAAAATGCCAGTAGTTAAATATGGTTTTGCATGGGGAATTACTTAGGGGGACTGTGTTACAATTTGATAATGCGGTCATATGCTCTGGGGATATAGACGCCTGGGTCTCGATTCAGTTTCGGTTCATGTCTTCTGATATTGATCGCCTCATGTATTCTTCTGATTCTTTTGCTGTGGTGGTTCACAGCCAACGTTTTAACTTTGGTCCAATCGACACGGTGTCGTGGGTTGTCATTCAGATGTTCAGCAACTGCAGATTGGTTGGTGGGGGCTTTTGGCATGTGTTCTTTCCGTCGGATATCTAATGGTCTTTTAGATTCTCCAATGTAACTTTGTTGGCAACTGCAGTTGATTTTGTAGACACAGCCTTTTGCTGAGAAGGGTTTGGTGGGGTTCAACTTTCCATTCGCTTTTGCTATGTCTTTGGTTGTTGCGCCCTTCAAGAAAGTGGTTTCAATATCTGCTTCCCTTTTCAATAATCTTCTGATTTGGTGAGAGATGTTGCCGTGGAAAGGTATAAAGATTATAATTGGAGGTTTATCGTTTTGGGGTTTATCAGGTTTTGGTAGGTCGGCAAGCTCATCAATGCCACACTTGCCGACCTACCAAAACCTGATAAACCCCAAAACGATGAACCTCCAATTAGAATCTTTATACCTTTCCACGGCAACATTTTCCAATACCGAATTCATTGTATATTCCATACCCACAACCCTCACATTTTATAATCCTCTGTTATCAATATGTAAAATTTGTATGTTTCAATTATTTTCTATAATTTATTTAGCTATTCACAGTATTTTATGTTATGTAACTCAATTACAATATATCATACCTCTCATATTTATAATTATAAAAAGGTTTCATCATAGGGCATTCTGCTTAATTTATCCTTATTTATTTATATTTTATTCAACCCTTTAATATGTAGTCACCTTGTAAATACATATATGCAACTTATTACTTGACTTTAAAACATAACCGTAAATTTTTATATTTCTTAACTGTTATAATCAATGTAAACATTATGGTTTCGATATAATTCTATAAACCCCCAGTTTGATCTTCTTGTATGTTTATTTAGTAATCTTAGTATATACTGGTTTCCGTTATGGTACACTGTGTATGGTTTCAATATTTGTTAATCTTGGTTAATCCCCTGTTTCATCTTTTAATTGTACAATAAGCCAATTCTAATATATACGATTATGCACCTTTGTTACATCAATAGCTTGTTATAGCTAATCATGCTCACTCACCTTGCATTCCATTGGATAGTTCGCACTGATGTTTGTATATTTATATTCATATCTTTCTCATTTTGTATCTATTTGTGTGTATGCTTGATAACGACTTGTGAAACCTTGTTGAAACGTCGCAGTGAAATAAACCATAGTAATTGTTATCCATAAAAGTGTGTTTTTGATTATGTTCCAATTACTAAATGCCATTCAAAGAATATATTAGATATCCTCTACTATATTCATAAAGGTGAAATCTGTCGCTAAAAATGAACAGTTGGTTTAACTGTTACAATCCCAGCTACAGTATCCTCGCCATTTACCAGACAGCAATAAATTAAGACAAAAACAACACGGGGTTCATTAAGAAATAAAAATAATATAGAAGGATATTCTAGAAAAGAGATTAGGTTAATGTGAGCAAACGCATTTATAGACAATATTGTATCTTTCATTGCCAGGCGAAACGACCTAAGTCAGCAATAGAGAAACTGAGGAACTAGCCAATAACTACACCCTGATTTAAATAATATTGGTTATTTTGGTGATCTGCAATACTTTATTCATAAATCTTAACAGACAGAATATCGAAATGTACTCTAAATTACTACAGAAATCGATTTTAAGGCTTGTCCACAATACTTTATCACAGTGACCATGACCCTATTTCGTACTTTTACTACCCTCTTTTTCCGAGAGCTACCAAGCAAAGTAGCGTAAGTCAATTGACACCAAGGGCGTCGTGGTTTCAACCTTAAAATTTAGGTGAAAAGAGTTGACGTAGCAGGATATGCTTGTCAATAGAAGATGGAGAACTGTTAGGGTTATTTCGCTATAGTACTATGTCAAAACAACCTAAATCTGACTTAGGCTGTTTTGGCACGGAACCCGTCATTTAATTTATAGTCCTGGTGTAGTTTAGTTCCTGTTGTATTTATGCAGCCGTTTTATTTATGGTTCCTGATAATGTAAATAAATGTTATATTGATAAACGGATATCTGTTATCACGAAGATAGTGTTACTCGAGGGGGTTGATTCAATTTACAATCTTAACGATTATAAACCGGATTTAATTAAGTTGTTCGATTTCCGTGCTGATTTGATAAGCTGTGGATTGTAGTTAATTATATCTGACAGAATTACTACAGATATTTATATTTCTAGCGAGGAAACCTTTTCTATAAATGGATATTACACGTCGTCGTGTGCCCGGATATCGGTGTTGCAGGAGGGTTTGGCATGGGACAAAGTATATATAGTCGTTCGGATGGGACGAAAATCCGACGTCCCCGTTACACTTTGACGTGCACGAAAAAGATCGCTTGGCAGTTGGAATTCGAAATCAAAGTGGGCTAAAGACCCCCTACGCGCAAGCGAATTATTGAAATAAAATTGAACAATCCATGTGTTAGTCCCGAAATGACATAGTTTGTGTCGAGTGGACGTTAAGTTAAACCCCATTTCTCTCTTTCTCACATCATCGATCGCACCCATCTTGGAATTGTGAGATGTCAAAACTGTAATAAGCCAAATGACAATGGCCAGATATCCGGTCGACCGTACACTAATTGGAGGATCCTTACACATTTTGAGTTTGTGGAGAAAAAGCCTACAAGTGCTCGAAATAGGTTCCGGGTTTAGTCAGGTTCACTGCGTGTGTCTATGCACCCACCCTTTCCGGTATTGGCTCATCATCTATAATTTGCCAATCACATTTTGCTAAGTAAATTAGGATATGATGTGCTATGTGTACATGCATGACTGATCGCTATAGGGATTAATCTCCAATCCTCTCAAACAATCCTATATAGACCGACTAATATTCTTAAAAATACATCTTTGAACTGTGGGGTGTAAAAGATTCCGGGAGTGATAATGAAGTGATAGCGGAAATCATTAAATATTAAGTGGCCACTTTGATAGGGATCTGTTTTGTGATTCCTTAAAGGGACAATAACACTCTTGCTGGCCTGACAGCTCCAGAAAATAAATAATAGCCTTATTCAAAGTACTAGATGTTTAAGTGTCCTACCTGTTGTGTAACTTATCTATTAAATCCGATTTTACTTGTCCAGAGGGTTCGAAAATATTTTTAAATCCAAGTCACATTTGAAAAAGTTTACGTTAGGCTTTTCAAATCATTTAGTTGAATTTTTCCATTTTTTTTTAAATTAGGTGTGTTAAGATGAAATTTGTATCGTCAATTTATTGGAATATTGTAAAATAGTACAATTTATTGACCAGAATAAAGATTGGGACATATTATTCAGTTACAACAAGAGTGGTATTGAGCCTTTAACACAATCTCGCCATGTTTCATGGATTTTCACCTTAAAAATCCCCGGTAAAGTTCCACATGTAGATTTCCGCCACATTCCGTGAGTAGTCGTAACTGTCCGCCAATAGACATGCCGTGACGTAATTTTAGTCCTTCTGCACATATTCTAGTCCATATTTCTATGAGCAGAAGGACTAAAATGACGTCACGACATTTTTATTGGCGGAAAGTTACGACTACTCACGGAGAACGGAGGAAATCGCTGTTGACATAATTACTTGGATTATTTAAAAAAAAATTATGAAGCTTGTCCTTTGACCTTTAAGTAATTATCGTGTACATGGTTAGAATGCGATATAGGTAATTTCACCGGGTATGTTATGGTTCACTGAAATGATCCACGACTCAGTGAGTAATACGTCAAGGTAAAAATCAACCACTTTACTTCATTCTGATATAAACAAATCTTCAGGTGATAATAATATATAATATATACACATAAATAAGAAATACGTCATCCAGGTAAAAAAAATCAACCACTTTATTTCGTTATGATATACACCAGTTCATAAACTAGCTGTTTGTCCTTTGTCAGGTGTTATCAGGTGTTGCAATGTATATAAATAATTACACATTAGACATACATATGATACATAGGTAGAATAATAGATTACCATGGTAATGGATTATAAATAATATCAGGTGTAATAAAGTATATAAAGTATATATAATACATAATATGACATAAATTTAAATAGTCTTCCTGGCGCCTGTTTCACGAAATTTTAACTAAGATAAAATCCAAATTTTAGTAATTTGACTGAAAAATATTAAATTGATTTTAGTGCTTAGCCAATCAAAATTGAAGTATCTACTAAAATTGGATTTTATCTTTAGTTAAGATTTCGAGAAACAGGGCACTGGAATAATATAGGGGCGTGGGCTGGTGGGAGTGAGATGTGTGTGTGTGTGAGAGAGAGAGAGAGAGAGGGAGAGAGGGGAGAGAGGGAGAGAGAGAGAGAGGGGGAGAGAGGGAGTAGAATGTGTTGATTTGAACGTAAAGTGTATTGATGATTAAAACACATTAGAACGTAAAGTGTATTGATAACTTAAAACAGATTAGATGGTAATGTGTATTAATAACTAAATATATACAATATTTTAATGAGATGATGTGTATTTACAATGAAATGAAGTGAGGTTTAACGTCATACTGCTCCGACTGTTCTAATGAAGACGGGAAATATTTACAATGAGATTCGGAAATATTTAAATAAATAAAGATATATAGGATTCTTTAATTTAAGTCACTGATTTCACTCGGGGTCCAATATAATTAATTTCAGTAAAGTCAAATATACTTAATTTCACTGGGTCAATTATACTTAGTTTCAGTAGGGTCAAATATACTTAATTTCACTGGGTCAATTATACTTAGTTTCACTGGGATCAAATATAATTCATTTCAGTAGGGTCAAATATACTTAATTTCACTGGGTCAATTATACTTAGTTTAACTGGGGTCAAATATAATTAATTTCACTGGGTCAATATATAATTAATCATACGTGCAAACATTAATTTTGTTAATTCTACTGGGGTTAACTTTGTTAATTTCAATTTTGTTCAATTCCACTTTGTTAATTTCACTTTTTGTTAATTTCACTTTTGTTAATTTCGCTTTTGTGAATTTAACTTCTGTTCACTTTTGCTAAATTCCATTGCTGTAATATCTCGAGGATTAGCTCATGTTAATTTCGCTTGGATCTACTTTTGTTAATTTCACTTGGATCCACCTTTGTTAATTTTACTTGGATCCGAATTTGTTAATTTCACCGAGGTAAACTCCTCTTTCTTCTAAATATTTTTACAGCACAGTCGTGCCGGAATTTTTTGCTTAGCAACCCATATATCACAGGGTTGATGGCATTGCTTAAAAATGTTGAGCGTACGCAGAAATTGTAAATAAGCAGTTCGGTCATACTTTCGCTTGAATTGAAATAAAATTGGTTTGTTTTGAGGATTTTAACAACGAGATACGGTACGTAGGATAATACAAACGATATCGTTACAGCTAGGAAAATGGTGGTCATCCGTCCCGTTTTCAACTTCATTTGTCCAGCAGACGCGTTACTGGGCCTTGAAATAAACAGCTTTTGGATACTGCTAGTAAGTTTTACAACGATATTTGTACTTTGGTACGATTCCAAGGAATTCGGCTCAGACACGTGTTGTTGGGTCGGTTGGTTTACGCTTGATATTTGGGGTAGAGTTTCTCCAATGGCATGGTTTTGTCGATTCATAAGTCTAACTCCTATGAGAATATAGAAGGTCAAGAAACAGACCAAGCTGAATACGAACGTGAATAATAAACATGCGTAATAAACCATTCTTGCTGGATGATCTAACATGGAATCATCTGTTGAACATTCCGTACCTGTTATAGACGGCACCGAGGTAGGCACTGTTCTCTTACCAAATATCACCAGCGCGGGCACCGCCGTCAGTATAGCAACTATCACGGTGATTATGGAACACGGTAGAACTTTTCTTTTAATGTCCTTAAAGGGTTTGTAGATTATACGGTATCGCGAATAAGCAATAGAGACCAACGTCAGCCCACAGAGACTCTGTAGCCACGTTTCAACAAATCTGAAAATCTTGCAAGCGGCTGGGGCATCGAAGGTATAGGGTAGAAGGAGATCGGAAAGTTCAAATGGAATGTTGACGCAGCATGAAATTAAATCCAAAGCCGCTAAATACACAAGAAAAGAATTGGAGTTCCTTTCCCTCAGCTGCGATTTATAAATAAAACAAACGACTAAGTTTCCGGATATTCCGATCACCATGACAACGACCATGTAAATAATCACAGGAAGCAGATTAATACTGGCAGCACGATTTAAACTTTCTAATGTCTCACTACTGGTCTGTGATGTCATGTTGCTAGGTGGCAATGTCATGTTGTTAGATGGCGATGTCATGTTGCTAGGTGGTAATGTCATGCTACTGGGTTGTAATGTCATGTAAATGAAATTCTGGGCGTCCATCTTTTGTGTCTTTTGATTTCACTTTCTAATCTATCTGAAATATAAAAAGAAACAGTCGGTCATTTTACTTGAAAACAATAAAAATTGGACACTGACTGCCCGATATTTAGAAGAAGACTATTCAGGCCCGTGGCCAGCTTGCTAGCTTCGGAGGGGCAGTGAAGTTTTTAGGGGGGGGGGGCACACCCGGCACAGTCTACAGTAGGTATTTTAGAGCTATGGTCGCCCCCCCCTTGCCCCCCTCTGGCTACGGGCCTGAGACTATTACGGTAACAAGTACGACCTTACGATGGCCCAGGAACCGAGTATGACTTTATCGCCGCCATCTTGGCATTGACACGAAATATCAAAAATCGAAGTCGACAAATATCTGAGGAACAAGTTTCATGGCGGAGCCTTGGAACCGTGGGCCCTTTTCCCGAAGTGTGTCCCCATAACAACAACAATAGTAGCCCCTAGGTACAGTCAGTCATTTAAGTTGAAAACGGAACAAAAATTGGAAACTGACTGCCCGATATTTGAAATCAGTCTATAACGGGAACAAGTACGACGTCATCGCCGCCGTCTTGGCGCCACCTTGGCATTATAAACATAACATATCAAATCTCGAAGTCGAGATATCGATCCGCATTTGTCTAAGGAACAAGTTTCATGTCAATCGTACTTGAATTGACGGAACTTTTTTTTTCGAAAAGTGTCCCCACAACATCAACAACAACAAGATGAGTAACTCCTCGGTACCAGTCCCTGGTTCGACCACCCACCCACTAACAAAATCCTTCACTTTCGAGTTGTATCAAACAACAACAGCACCCGTTCCTGATCCGACACGCCCCGAAAACTTCACTTTTGAGTTGTTTCAGACAAAAACACGTTGTCTGGTATTCAACATCAGACAAACAACCCATAAACCATAATAGTGTTATTTAAACGACTCAAACCTCAAACCAATTTGTGAAACAGCTTAAAATCCACTGTACTATATTGATCCTACGTGTGTTCATGTTATTTATATGTATCGTAATATCTGGTAATTCCTGACCTCATCCATTATTGACTTAACTTTCTAATGGCCTTCATAAATATGATAACTAGTGCAAATATTTTTTCAGGGGTTAACTATCCGATATTTATTATTTATCAAAAACATATAATGTGAGCCATTCGATGTTATGGAACTCAATGACATTTGACAATGACAAGGGGGGGGGGATGGTCGAATGGTTAGCGTGTGCGCGTTGTTTCATAAGGTCTGTCATTGTGTCAACTGGCGTGGGTTCGATTTCCCGGTTGTACGTGACAAGGAGTAGGTTCGCCTGTCCAACCTCGTGGGTTTTCCCCGGGTCCTCCGGTTTCCTCCCACTGCTAAAGATCCCTACGCGCAAGCGAATTATTGAAATAAAATTAAACCATACGTTAGTCCCGAAATGATCTAGTTTGTGTCGAGTGGACGTTAAACCCCATTTCTCTCTCTCTCTCTCTCTCTCTCTCTCTCTCTCTGAAACGTATTCAAATTAATTATTCAGTTGGATTCAATCGGATTAAAAGTATGTCCATTAATAGGTTTCATTGAACACTTTTACGTGATACTGGGTTTTCTCCAAGTCCTCCAGTTTCCCCGCACTGCTAAAGACAAGCGAATTATTGAAATAAAATTAAACCAGGTGTTAGTCGCGAAATGACCTAGTTTGTGTCGAGTGGACGTTAAATCCTCTCTCTTTCTCTGAATTGTATGACTCGACTACTTCTGTCCCCTTTCAGTAAGACCTTGATCAACGTAAATATTGGTTATCGTGGTAACCATGGTTACCTTGTCACAGCTGATCAATTTCCCCGTACATTTATATTTTTTTAAGATAGAAGATGATCACATTCAGATCATTTAATGTTATAGTTTATTGTCCTACTATCGATATTAAAGCCACTGATCACGTGATCATCTTTACCACAATACATGTATTTATATTTTCACGATTTAATCCACTCTGAAATGCACTGGGGGGATTGGATGGCTGAATGGTTAGCGTGTACGCGCTGTATCATAAAGTCTGCCATTGAGTCAACTGGCAGGGTTTCGATTCCCCGGTTGTACGTGACAAGGAGTAGGGTCGCCTGTCCAACCTCGTGGGTTTTCCCCGGGTCCTCCGGTTTCCTCCCACTGCTAAAGATCCCTACGCGCAAGCGAATTATTGAAATAAAATTAAACCATACGTTAGTCCCGAAATGACCTAGTTTGTGTCGAGTGGACGTTAAACCCCATTTCTCTCTCTCTCTCTCTGAAATGTATTCAAATTAATTATTCAGTTGGATTCAATCGGATTAAAAGTATGTCCATTAATAGGTTTCATTGAACACTTTTACGTGATACTGGCTAGTTTATATCGTTTTCAGAGGATGCCAATAACTTTGTGATATCTCTGTACATGCGACATTGAATTATTTTGGATTGACATCCATTTTAGAGATTCACGCTGTTTTCATGAGTCCAGTCAGAACAAAAATGCAGGACGTTAAACCCCATTTCATTTCATTTAACTTTCACGATATTGGTGACTTAAAATCAGCGGTTGGAGAGAGAGAGAGGGGGAGGGAGTGAGAGAGAGAGGGGCTAACGGCCACTCGATTCAAAATAGGTCATTTCGGGGCTAACATACGGTTCATTAGCAGTGCTAGGAATCTGTAGGATCGAGTTGACATGGCCACCTTGGTTAGGGTTAGTGTTAGGTTTAGCGCTAGCCCTGTTTACATCTCGTGACCTATGACAGAATCTGCCGATGTGCTTGTGAATAGATCTAATCCTAGAACTACGTGTATAATATTCACAACTGTCGAACAGGTTTCCTGCACCGCCCACGAATTACATGTACATTATATAAACAACCCAAAATATGATACATTGGCAATATCCCAATTAATGTTGCAGAAAAAATAAACACAAGGCACATGACGTATTACGAAATGAAATGGGGTTTAACGTCCTACTGTTCTACTCCGAACTGGGCTAATGAAGACGGGCATACGCCATACAGTGTGCTATGAGGGAAATTTTGCTCGGACAGCGGCACTACGACCTACTCCTTATATCGAAATCCAACTACCAATGGATCTTTTACGTGCACCCCAATGTGTACATGGGACCTCGGTTTTTCGTCCCATCCGAACGACTAGACAGCTGTCCTTGTCAGGCCCTCCGTTCTGCACCACTGACAATGGAGAACAACGCCGAAAAATCCCGATGGACTTTCTCGGCAAATGCAGGGATCGAACCCCCCGACCTCCAGGATAGCGAGCCAGCGTTCTACCCGCTTAGCCACCGTGATCCCCAACTTGGCGTATTACACTAGTCCATATCTAGAGTTTTTAGGATGTGATAAAACTCAACCGTTGGTAATTATTCATTATTGCTAAGACGTCCAAGTATTTTATCTACCAAATGCTAATATAAAAAAATCCCTGAATAAAGATCTGATGAATCAGTAGTTATTATTCCATTCATCTATTCACCATAATATATTCATTGAGGTCCCGACAGGGCTAAAAATATCGACTCCTTTTACGGATTTATTGCATTCAGCCATCAAAAGAATTTATGGATATTTTGTTATGAATTGTTTCTGTCTGTGTTTCTCATTTATTTGGGCGCCTCGGTGGTACATTGAGTAATAGGGTGGTTTAATCCAGATCTTGGCCAAGAATTTTCATTTCCGGCCAGTGGTTGGAACGAACAAATCGAGGTCCCGGGCATAGGTTGGCGTGCGCGTACGAAAGAACGAAAGAAAAAAAGAAAGAGAAATGGGGTTTAACGTCTACTCGACACAAACTAGGTTATTTCAGGACTAACATATGGTTCAATTTTATCTCGATAATTCGCTTGCGCGTGGTGGTTTTTAGCAGTGAGAGGAAACCGGAGGACCCGGAGAAAACCCACGAGGTTGGACAGGCGGCCGTACTCCTTGTCACGTACAACCCGGGGATTCGAAACCCTGCCAGTTGACTCAATGACAGGCCTTAGATACAGCGCGCACGTGCTAACCATTCGCCTGCGCGTACGGGTCGTTGGACAGTGGGAGGAAACCGGAATTCATGGCGAAAGCCAATAGGTTGGACATGCGACCCTACTCCTTGTCACGTACCACCCCTCAATCTTACGAACCGCCATATTACTGAAATACGGGGGTGGGGTGGGGAGGGCGACTGATCATAATGTCTCTCATTCAGACAAGTGGCGTGGGTTTCCGTGACAAGGAATTAGTCGCCATCCCAACCTACGCGCAAGCGAATAATTGCAATGAAAGTGTACCATCTCTCTCTCTCTCTCTCTCTCTCTCTCTCTCTCTCGTTTGAATTTTTAAATCAATATTTATATTCCACATTTAGCGTGATCACGTGCTGATAAATGATAATTAATTAATCCCACTTGCCTATATTAACATTAATAGTATGAGCCATGATTTGGAGACAAAACCAATATGGACTTATGTTTTACTGGAATCAATAAATACACCGTACTGTGGTACCTCAGTAACGACTGGGGTGACATTTCCCGTAGATTAGATTGACATAACCCACTTCATTTCCATAAATCACTTAGGCAGGCGATCTTATTCCGTATCACGTACAAGTGAGGGATCAAAACCGCGCCAATTTACTTATTGACAGACAAATGTATATTAAAGCGCACATGCCACACCACTCGACCACTGAACTCTTCAAGACAACATGACAACAAGAATCATTGAGTATGAAAACGATACTAGAATACTTGTCGAAACGTCGTGCTTATCATGAGCGGATCTGGGTGGGGGCGCACCCCCCCCCCTCCTCTGCTCAGCTACGTAAAAAAATTGTTAAACAACACTTTTATGAGAAAAGTGTCACGGTCGTGTGTTTTATCCTTTATCATCAGATGGTAGGATGGGATGGTCATTCAAAACGAGAGGTAATGATAGACATGTGTGATATCACAATTGATGCTTTGCATTAATGAAATTGAATCACAATGTGATCCTATTATTTCATAATAAACATTTAGGTCAAACAGGATGTTGGATTTCTCTCTTTAAAAGGCTCGATGTTCAGGTAAGCTTAGGTAATTTGGAGACGATGATGGCATCATGCATTGTCAACTATCAAACGTCCTTAACAGGAGCCTGGCCAACCCCCTCCTGTAAAAATTCTTGGATCTGCCCCTGCTTATATAATAAACCAGTGACAGTTATAAAAAGCATGACGTTTCGGTAAATATCCTTGTGCTTATATAAGTATCCCCGTGCTCGATAATGATTATCAAAACGCCGAGATTATATAAAAAGCACGCAGTTTCGATAACTATTCATGTGTTTGATAACGATAAGATCGAAACGCGGGATACTATGTGTGTGTATGTGTGTGTGTGAGAGAGAGAGAGAGAGAGAGAGAGAGAGAGATGGGGTTAACGACACAAACTAAGTCATTTCGGGACAAAACAAGGTTCAATTTTATTTCAATAATTCGCTTGCGCGTAGGGGTCTTTAACAATGGGAGGAAATCGGAGGACCCGGAGAAAACCCATGAGGCTGGACAGGCGACCCTACTCCTTGTCACGTACAATCGGGGAATCGAAACCACGCCAATTGACTCAATGACAGACCTGATCATACACGCACACGCGCTAACCATCCAACCCCCCGTTCTCTATTAGACATTTATGAAATAAAATCGACGTTTCGATAAGTATCAGTGTGCTTAATAACGATACAAGGACACATGTCGAAACGTTGTGCGTATACAATAAACCAGTGAAAGTTATGACGTTTCGATAAGTAACCCCGAGTATGATTACAATAAGAGAATACTTGTATAATAAACAATTGACAGTTTCCCTAAAATATTGTGTTCTGTTCTGAAACATACAGTAAAAAGATAAATCGTTTGTTTAAGCCACATTTAGTAACTGGGTGAGAATAACACAATTATATGTAATATAAGTTACTTGAAAGATTTATTTCAGTGACGTTTCGACAAGGGTGCTCCCGTCATTATCAAGCAAAGAGTGATAACCATAGTATAATGAACATATATATACAAAATAAGGAACAATGACACACACTCAGAGGTAATCATTTAATATAACTGGTATACCATATAATTTTGTCAGTGGTACAAATGGTACTTACTTTTATACAGACAAAGTCCTCAATTATATTCAGCTGTTAATACTTCAATGATTGAATAACACGAGCAACTCCTTTGAATATTAACTTAAAGTTCACGATGATTATCAACATCCGCCAGACTAAGTGATGCTCGTAGTCTTGGCCACGTTAACCAATATTTATATAATAAAGTACTATTGGTCTGGATAACAGAGACTATTAGTTCCGTTAACCGCGGTACGGAGATTTAAGACTATTACTGGGTTATATTGGAGCGAAATGATTGGCCGGTGTCATCATCATCGAGTCATTTAATATCCCATTCTAGCTTCTCTGTGATACTCAACGTATGATGTAATACGTTAATAATAGTATAGTATAGTTATCGCTGTACGTTATAGAGCTCGAGTTTATCTAGGCATGATACGAAGGAAACATTTCCATGCCAAATTTTAATTTGTAATCCGGTTTCAGTTCCAACATTAAAGATACATTATGGGGGATTAGATAAAGAGCTGGACAGCACGTTTTCGCCAACTCGTCATGAAATTCCAATTGTCAAGGGTTTCTTTATGTGTACAATGGGAACCATCGTGGCCCTGAGGTCGCGTGTTCGATACCAGCATTGGCCGAGAAAGGTCATCTGGATTTTCCGACGTGGTTTCATCTTGTCAGTGGTGCAAGACGGTGGACCTGACAGGGACAGCTGTCTAGAAGATCGGATGGGACGAAAAACCGAGTTCCCGTGTACACATTGGCGTGCACGTAATAGATACCTTGGCAGATGGAATTCGGTATAAGAGTAGGCCGTAGCGCCGCTGCCCGTGCAAAATTTCCCCCATAGCACACTGTATTGCGTATGCCCGTCTTCATTAGCTCAGTTTTGGAGCAGAACAGTAGGACATACGTTAAACACCATTTCATTTCATTTATATAATATTTTATAATCCCATTTTTAAATTTTTTATATAATCTCCATTATTATATTTTATAATCTTGGTTTTTATATTTTTCTATAACCTCTGTTATTATATATATTTTTAATAGTTATATCTCCATTAATATAGATTTTGCACTGTTATCGCGTCAATAAAATGTGAACAATTTAGTCGGTTTTAGCGCTTATTCTTATCAAATTCCGTTGTGACCACAAAAAAGATGGAAAAAACAAACTGGCGTTTACATCAGGGGATTTTTGTAAGCCAAGGGTCAGTGACTAAAACGAAATGAAATGAAATGGGGTTTAACGTCCTACTGTTCTGCTCCAACTGGGAAAATGAAGACGAGGATACGCCATAGAGTGTGCTATGAGGGAAATTTTGCCCGGGCAGTGGCACTATCGCCTACTCTTATATCAAATTCCAACTGCCAAGGGATCTTTTACGTGCATTCCAACGTATACACGGGGCCTAGGTTTTTCGTATCATCCGAAGGACTAGACAGCTGTCCTTGCCAGCCCCCCCGTTCTGCAACACTGACAAGGGGAAAGCACGTCGGAAAATCCAGATGAACTTTCTCGGCCAATGTAGGGATCGAACACCCGACCTCCAGGCTAGCGAGCCAGCGTCTTAACCACATCCCTGTAAATTGATATTAGAATCGTCCGTTTTCAGGGAAATATTTTTAGTGAATAACGTAATGTTTAAGAATAATTCTTGGGTATAAAACGCTTTGATCAATCACGCATGGGGATCTAAATATAGACATATTAAAGCTATTAAAGAAAAGCCAAAATTGTTTCAAGGCCACTCTGAATAAAACTGGCACAGACATAGCGAGAGGAGATGTCTACTTCATAAACGGATGTAGCAATTACAGTAAACTTTAGTAATTTCTTCCAGTTGACGTGATAGTAAAATGTATTTATAGTAACAGGATCATCTGGGTGCAACCACGTGTATTTCTGGTCTGATTAAATTAAGACTGAGTTCAAGTAACTTCTTGACTAAGGCTAGTAATTATTTCCCCTTATTTCATGATGGACGAATGTAGTGCGAGTTATAAATAGACAATTTTTCCCTTAATTTTTTTCTCCCCTCTTCCTGCATTTTTGGGTTGACTTTTTGGTCTAGAATTGGAGAAAAGGGATCAAATTTGCAATTTCATAGCAGTTTTGGGTAATACTGATGATATTACAGCGGAGGGATAGGGGGTGTAAAGTGTCTTTCTGCAGAGCAATCATTGTGTCGGAAGTGAGATTTTCACCCCTGTCAACTTCAAATCCGTGTAGCAAAAAATCTAAATGGTCAACCCCCTACAAAATTATGATGAGGAGATTGCCAAATGTTGTCCCCATTGTGCCTATAAAGATTTATTAAACATATATAGATAATTCAACAAATATTAACAAGAAAGAGAGAGAGATACCATCCGTTCTAAATCATAGTTCACTCTCATTTGACATACACTTTTACCAAATATATAATAGACAATTATGACACATTGACAATTAAACTATAAAATATTGCTTCTAAGTCGAGATCTAAACAATGTTTTTTTTTAAAAGAGTTTGGTTAATCACCTGTTCTTAATCCCCCCATTGTTAGACTTCCATGCTTAACTAAATTATACATGACGTAATAAGCATTGGCTGGATTAAACATACATGTACATTATGCAAGAGCTAAATCTGTCTATTGCAGGTCTTTCTTTAGGTCTGAAATGTTATATAAATTATTAATTAGACATTAATTAACTTATCCAGACAATAATCAACTCCCGATGGCATCGCTAGTCTGCGATGTTTATTCGATTAGGTTCCGATTTGCTGCTTGACTTCCATTCATAATTTAATCATGAAATGGATGATTGAGACTATGTTTTTTATCGTACAGACTTTAGTAATGATGATCGAGGCTCGGCCGAAATTTCAACCGCTTAATTCTCGGTTCATAGTGGATCAATTTGACTGAAATTCTCATCAAATTCTCTTTACATTATATAGTTTGTAACTATTATGTGAGAACTGCCAACTCTTTATCTTATTTCCCATAATATATCTTTAATAAGTCTCTCCTAAATTTAAGATAAGAGGGTTCTGTAGCCCAGGGGTCGGTTGACCATGGATTGTAAAGAGTTTTACTCTATGTTTATAAAGACAATATTTAGCTCAATTTCAGTGTCTGTTTAATTCAATACGTATCTAACATTAGAAATAATTTGGTAAATAAGATAGAAATAAATTACAGTATGTGGGCAAAGATATGTTCACCAAAATGGGAAATGAAATGAAATGGGGTTTAACGTCCTACTGTTCTGTTCCAACTGGGCTAAAGAAGACGGGAGGGAAATGTAACACGGGATTTTAATATACAGTATAGAATTCATATGACTTATGTCTGTGAATTATTCCAACACTAACCAAGATAACTCAGACAAATAGTTATAATTAAACTTTTAATAAATGAGTGTCCAAAACTGGATAACGGTCACAATAACGAGATAGGTATCGCTAGGGCAGGCCGATCACCAGACTAAATGAAATGAAATGGGGTTTAACGTCCTACTGTTCTGCTCCTAAACTGGGCTAATGAAGACGGGCATACGCCATACAGTGTGCTATGAGGGAAATTTTGCCCGGGCAGCGGCACTATCGCCTACTCTTATATCGAATTCCAACTGCCAAGGGATCTTTTACGTGCATTCCAATGTATACACGGGACCTCGGTTTTTCGTCTCATCCGAAGGACTAGATAGCTGTACTTGTCAGGCCCTCTGTCCTGCATCACTGACAAGGGGGAACCACGCCGGAAATCTGGATGAACTTTCTCGGCCAATGCAGGGATCGAACACCCGACCTCCAGGCTAGCGAGCCAGCGTCTTACCCACTTAGCCACGTGATCCCCTCACCAGACTAAAGTTATAGAAGAATATAGAACATATATACAAGCTTATGATTAAAATAATTATATAATAATATTTCAGAAGTAAATATCCAACCCCGTGAAATCACATTATTGAAAATTGTAGATGTTAGTCCCGAAATGATCTAATTTATGTCGAGTGTACGTTAGCCTCCCTTGATCGAAAATATCGCCCGAACACTAAAGAAGGGGTAATGGACATGTACTGAGATTTTGGAGGTGTAAATTCTCTCTTCGGGTATAACAGACTTCGAATGATTTATTCAATATACCGGAACATAAATATACATATATCGTCATACAGTACTGACAGGCCAGTTGCTGCACTTAGTGAGGTATCGTAACTGGTGACTCCCTTCAATGTTCGTTCGTTCCTTCCAATAGTTTTACGTCCACTTCCACCTAAGGTGATATCATAGACAAGCCTTCAATGTACAAATTTGTTATATTTAAGGAAAATCAGATAATAGGATAGAAATAAATTTTGTAATTAAAACTTGACGTGTCGATAGATGAACAATGCATAAAGGTTTAAACAATGTAATAAATCAACAAAATGAACGAAAAAAATAGATTGGATTAAAGTTACAATTTCATATTTTCTAAGAAAGTCAAAACATAATTATTTCTATGTCTTTTGCTCAATAGGTTGTCAACTCACTATTATACGATCATAGGTGTCATTCTCACACTTAAAACTCATTTACATCGGAAATAATAACACAGTTACCTCACAATTACCTCCCTTGTTTTCTATTCTCCATCATGGAGTAGTTATCTTCAAACGTTTGAATTTAAAGATGAAAATGATATTTTTGCCAATTTCTCGACTGGCAATAGTGAATTATAGGATTAATAGGATTATTCTTTAACAAGGTAGGACTGTTAATAGATACCATCTATTTTAATGCTTTATTTTAATAAATTTTAAAAATATAACTTAAAAATATGAAATTGCAGCTTTAACATCGTTACCAATTGACGGCTTGAAAAGTGATGACAGGTTAATAGCGATTTGATCTAAAGTTGTTAATTTAAGAAACATTCATTAACTTAGCGATTGGCAGATCATCACACCATTATAATTTCCTCTGTTTTAGAAAAGACGCGCCCTTGCGTCTTAATAATCGATACGAAAGCATTAGGGTTAGGTCAAGGGTTAGGGTTAAGGTTGGGATTGGAGCTAGCCCTGTTTACACCTCGTGAACTTTGACCAAACTTGAAGTTGACCTTATCAAATAGATTTAACCATGTGGACACGTTAGATGTCACGTGATATGTGACGACACGGGAATCCCGACAGGTACGTCACGTGATTGAGGAAACCCAGAACGACAGGTTTATAGCTGATATATCTATATCTTGCAGTGTGTGACTATAAACATAAGTAAATAATAATGACCTTTAACGTTAATACGCTGAATATTCGTAGAACAATACGAATATGTGTGAATATAATATATATAAATAATCCTAATGCGTTTCATCCTCGGTTTCCCCAGTGGTCTCATTCCGTTCTACCCTCACTAATGAGTAGAACGGAATGAGACTACAAGGGAAACAGAGGATGAATACGTGTAAATACAGTCAAGAATCCTAATGGGTATGTTATAAAATATATCTATATCTTGAAACGTGTAAATGAAAGGTAATTAGGTTATAAAAAGCCCTTAACGTGATTATTTTGAATATTCGTAGAACGATACGAATACACGTGGGAGAATATAGATATATGTAATCCTCAAAGCAGAAATAGCTTACCGATAGGTAGTTATCTTAATTAGCCTTAATATACACAGTGCGAGTATAAAATATATCCACATGCGTATTCGTGGAATTAAGTAAAAATACAAACAGATACATTACATACATACGTACTTTAAGCTAGTCTTCATTGGTTATGTATGTATTGGTTATTTTTATTTAATTCCACAAATACGCATATTATTTTAAAGTAGCTAAGTCTCCAACTCAATACCATCCAAAGTCTTACACGTTGAAAACACGAATTATTTGTCAATTCAAATCAACATTGATGTTGTGATCTTACCAGGAAAAGGTAGTGTAATACTATAGGGTTTATTTTAGTTCTAAGAAAGGTGTTCTGTTTAATATAGAAATTCGAGTTACCTACATGATGTGTGCTGACAACTAGGGTAATTAATTACCTTGCATTATTCCGCTACTATCGTAGACTTACTTACCGACAGTTATGTCAGTATCCATTGCTGGAAGTAGGGTACTATAGCCCAGTCATCTCGTGCACGGATTAGTACAATTAACTAGAATAGTGTTGACGTAAAACGGTGCCTATACGAAACACTTACCCAAAAATGGTAATTGTCCCGCCCTAATAAATGACGCATTGTATTTTATATATAGGAGAGAGCTGGTTTGATTTACCTTCAGATATCATAGAGCGGCCCCAGAGGGGCACACCATAGCCTTCTCGGCTGAGAGACTGGGATAGAGACAATGTAGTATTTAACCCGTTAGGTCTGAGTTGTAAAGGATGCTAAACTCAGGGTAGCACGTCATTTCGGTCCCGCGTCATTTCGGACTCAGCACAAACGTCGTTTCGGACTCAGTATGGCGACTTTTCGGACTTACTCGGTGTCATTTCGGACTCAGTCAAACGACATTTAGGACTCGGACCGGCGACATTTCGGACTCGGACTCGGACTCAAATAAAACTTAAAATTATGTGTGTATATATTAGTAATAGCTGTTTTTCTTTCGTTGTAGGTGAGGCTCAAGACAGACCATTCACATTAATAAAGATTTAAACATTGTTAGTCTTGTTTTATTTATCCCATACAGGCCATTACTTGACAACACGCCTTTGAACTTGAACTTGAAGTAAAACCTATGCTACTTGCCTTTTTTGTATTTGTTTATTTACTTGATCGGATATTATTGTATTTTGATGAGTAAATTTTGATTGTTGACGATGAATTAGTTTAGATTGTTGACGATAATCGATCCGCGATTGTTGTTTTAATCTAGCGATTAGTGAATCCAGCGATTAGTGAAACCATCCCATTGTTGTATTTAAGATTAATAGCGATAATTGATCGGCGTTTCTAATAGCCGCTAAGAAATGATTGAGAAATAAAAACACTGATCGGCGTTTCTAATAGCCGCTAAGAAATGATTGAGAAATAAAAACACTGCAACTCGTATTTAATCTGGTGTTGATTAATGAAAGCAAGCTGAGATTAATGAAGCCGTTAAGAAATGATTGAGCCCAAGCTCAAATGTATTATATATATGTGCCATATTTCAATTCAAATCATTCTCAATTTTTACACGAATCTATCATGGCTAGTGGAAATTGCGTAAAGTGTACCAATCCTGTCCGTCCTCGACAAGAAGGCCTCCAGTGCGATTCTTGTCTTTTATGGCAACATCGAACCTGCGATTCCGGTACGTAATGAAATTTTCTTTATTGTTATTTATTAAAACGTTTTAAATTTGTCGTTTCTTGTAAGTTATTGTTATTTATTAAAACGTTTTAAATTTGTCGTTTCTTGTAAGTTATTGTTATTTATTAAAACGTTTTAAATTTGTCGTTTCTTGTAAGTTATTGTTATTTATTGAAACGTTATAAATTTGTCGTTTCAGCTTGTAAGTTATTGTTATTTATTGAAACGTTATAAATTTGTCGTTATTGTTATTTATTGACACGTACCCGCAATCCGGGAATATTATTATTTTATTTATCACTATTTCAGGCATCACTCGGGATGAGTACAGGAGTTTAAACCGACATAGAACTGCTTTTGAATGGAAATGCTGTAGATGTGTTGCCCCGCTCCCCCCTACAGAAGAAGAAATGGACATCGAAGAATCATTCACCATTGAACGACCATACCAGCTACCTGATCCGGTTATCGAGTCTTCAATGTCTGAAGATGAGCAAGATATTAGCGTATTTGCTGAAGAAGAACCTGAATTAGCATACACTATAGAAGAGGCAGCAACAACACGTGGGAAAAAGAAGCTGTTTGACAACATTGGTTTTGCTTATACGATAAAGGTATGTGTTATATATATGTATGTTATAGACAAATATGATATCTAACTAGAACTTATATATTAGAACTAATGTTACGTGTAGACGAATATGATATCTAATTAGAACTAATGATGTTTTTTTTAGACGGACAAGAAAACGACCGTATGGAGGTGCTGCAAGAGAAATGGTTCCCTGACTTGTCCTGCAACGGTGATTCAGGATGGTACCGACTTCAAGAAAGGTTTGAAAGAGCATATTCACCCAGCAGAACCTGGTATATTGACTGCTGCTAAAATTAAAGTAACGGTATGTATATAAAAATACAAATATTAAAGTAACGATATGTACATATATTAAAAGATTGAAAGAACAGATATTCATTCCTCCAGCTGACCCTGGTACTGACTGTTGCTGAAATAAAAAAAAAGAATATGTATAATATTTATTATATCATTGCAGGCTAAGAAGGAAGCCATAGGAAATATTTTTACAAGATCCTGTCCATCAATCGCAGAGAGTGTCATGGCAAGTGTAGGATCGGTCAACGAACCAGTGTATAGCAGACCACCTCTTGCAGCATTGATAAGGTCGGTGCAGCGAACCAGACAGACTCTCCGACCAAATGACCCAGTAGACATGTCTTTCTATCCACGCTTTCGTAAAAGCCGGGGAAACCACGAAGCAGGTACCACTTGTCTTTTGTGTAATGTCCGGGAAGAGTCAGGACGATTACTACAAGGTAAGATGTGATCTATAAACTCGGAATAAAAAAATGATATAAATATAATCGGAAAAAATGGAGAAATGAATAACCGGAGAAATGAATATAATCGGAGAAATGATTACAATCGGATAAATGAATAAATATAATCAGATAAATGAACGTTTGGTTTATTTATTTTACAGGTTCTCCGGGCAGTGGACAAGATGCTACCAAGAAAAGGGATTCCAGGTATGTTGTGCGTTCTTCTTATAATAAATCTTCTTATAGTAAAATAAAAAAATTCTTATTATAATATCTTCTTTTAAAGTACAAGTGCACAAATAGATTTTCAGTATTAATATATTTCTAATATTTTATTATTTCAGACAGCGTACAACGAAAAGGGGGACGTGTTTAATTATTTGAGGCGATTGATGGCTCTCCCTTTCCTGCCCGAAGAACACGTGGCGGGCATGTTTGCCCATTTGAAAGACAGGTGCCCAGAACAGTTAGAGCCGATATGTACATACATAGAAGATCAATGGATTTCATCTCGTCTGTTTCCAATAGAAGATTGGTGCGTGTTTATGTTGCCAGTGAGAACCAATAACGACGTGGAGGGCTGGCACAACAGACTAAATTCCCGTGTCAACGCCAGAGGTCCTGTGCCATTTTATCTATTGATTTGCGCACTTTTTTCAGAAGCTACAAAGATACCACTGGACCTCACAATGATGTCGGAAGGTTCATTGAGACGACACCAAAGACGTCGGTATCGACATGTAGAAGGCCAACTTTTTAATATATGGGATTCATACAATGAAAAACAGATGAGCACTAGTAGACTATTAAAAAAAATAAGTCATTTGTATGGTCCACCCGCTCAGTGAAAAACAATTACATAATTAAAAAAATGAAAAAAAAAAAAAAAAAAAATGAATAGCCGACTAAAGCTATTTTTTCATCAAATAAATACACGTGTTGTTATAAATGTTGCGTTAATGTATGAATGTGTATGTATTTATACAATAAATGAATGTTTTATATGACCGTTGTTATCGCTATATGGTATGTTTAAAAATAAAATAATATGCCCGTTGTTATAAATCGATGTTATCATTTTATGCTATGTTGATAAATAAAATAGTTTATAAAGTAAATTGGCGTCAGTGTGTTGTATAATTCTATCTTACCTACCCGAGTCCGAAACGTCACCTACCCGAGTCCGAAACGTCACCTACCCGAGTCCGAAATGTCACCTACCCGAGTCCGAAATGTCGGGGACATATTTTTTGGAGTCCGAAATGACGTAAGTCCGAAATGACGCGGGACCGAAATGACATGTAATCAAACTCAGACCGTAGAAATTTTAATAACGCCTAAAGTTTCTATAATAGATGCTGTAGTTTTCCCGGATTTAACTTTGTAGTTTGGTGTATTTGTTTAATTATATAAACTTAGTAACAACATAAACGGTGTTCCAGAGTCAGTTAATTCATGATGGAAATAATTGATACCACTACGTGAAGTCGAAGAAAGTCATAGACGATAATGTCACCTCTAATATCCTTATTTGTTGCCAAGACACAGGATAGTGTCTCAGTAGGCTAGGTCCCAAATGTTAACGATTTAGCTCCTTTAACTAATGAGGACTATCATAAAACGATCTAAAGTACATTCTTACCTTGACAATATAACAAGAAATAGTTTATAGTTGGAAAGTGTTGAATTCCCGCTTAGCATGCCTATTTAAAGACAGTCAACGTTATGTCCAACAGAGAATTTTATGGAGTATTTCAACCAACTATTATGCTCATATTCTATAGATGATTGGTTAAGAGCCGTCACGTGATTTAGATAGGCCCAGCTTCAGACCTTAACCGCCCCGTGTTGTTTAATTTAATCCTTTGGTTGAATAGCGAGAAACAATAGACCGACTCTAAACTCGCATCTTAGGTAAGTGTATTTAATTTATGAAACAATGGGTATAGATGGGCGAGTAACTGTCAGACTGCTTGATTGACACTCTTCTACATGGTCACATACTAAACTGTCTGTCTGCAGTTAGCTCCGCTTGGTAACAGCCACTAAGCGAGTTGGACGACATTTTAAGTCCTAATTCGACGATTTTAGTTGAAAACACTAAGTATACTTCGAGAAGTTTATTAAGTATTGGTTCTGCTTCCATTTAACAAAATTCAAAAAGTTTTTTTAGTCTTTGTGTGTATGACAGATGTGAAACGAGATAGAACCGCAGTGCAAAACAGTGTAGTAATGTTTGAATATGGCGGCCATTCAAGGCAGAGATCAATTCTCGAACTACATAGTTCTCTGTGTTGATATCATTAAGTCCTTGTGATCTCAGAACATGTCTACTGTATACACACCTCGAAATACGGAATTGGGGGTTGGACGACCGAATGGTTAACGCTTGCGCGTTGCATCTGTTATTGAGCCAAGTGGCGTGGTTTCGATTTCCCGTTTGTTTTTCCGGGTCCTCCGGGTTCCTTCCACTACTAAAGACGACTACGCTTAAGCGAATAAATGAAATAACATTGAGCCACCGAAACATATTCGCATCAACATCGATATATAAACAGTCCTTTCTCCCTTCTACTATTTCATCCTGGAATAATCTAACAGACGACATAAAGAAAAGTTCATCCTTGAAACACTTCAAAGATCATTTACGCAAAAACGACCAAGCGATCCCAAATCATTACTATCTAGGAGACAGAAGATTGCAAATCATTCACACTAGACTAAGATGCCAAAAAGTACTCTAAACTATCACAAATTTTTAATGCACATTTCAAACAATCAATCCTGTAGTTGCGGTCACACTATTGAGGACAGCGAACATTTTTTATTATACTGCTCTAATTTTACTAGAACAAGACAAGAAACTAAACTATTACTACCAAGTACTCACCGGGAGATTAGAACGCTATTATACGAAAACGACCTTCTCGCTTCTTCGACAAACATGGAAATATTCACTATAGTTCAGTTATTCATAAACCAATCCAATAGATTTAAGTAAACAATAACCATGTTCCACATATTCCACTTACCCGTCCTCTGTTTGATCATTCTTACTGGGTATATACTTGATTCTACTCGCCTTCAAGATATATGATACATATCGTTTCATGCTGGGTATACTTACCGCCTTTTTGCCTTCCACTCACTGTTCGGTGATACTTTTAATACCCACCGCATACTTACTTGTTACTATCTTATTACTTACCACCTACTGTTTGGGTTTTTTTGTTGTTTTTTTTTTGTTTTTTTTTATACCGTCCTTTTACTTACCACCTACTGTTTGTTGATACTTACCGTATAAACTTGCGGGTTGGTTTACTTACCGATTCTTGTTTGTCTACACGTATTGTTTGCTCGCCGTTTCTTGACCAACTATGCTTATCAATATACTTATCTAAATTGATCATACTAAACGACGATTCATATCGTTTTCGTCCTTTTACTTGCCACCTACTATTTGGTGATACTCACCGTATACACTTGCGGGTTAGTTTACTTACCGATCATACTAAACGTGTACTAGTGGGTTTTACTTGACGTGTTTTGATGGGCTTACCTTTGATGCAGCATAGATATTTAAACTTATCTTAACACTAATCATATGACAATTAGTGTCTCTCGATAGGTTGGAAATACTTGTCCATGTTCAAATCGTGTACTTAATATTAAATATTAACGATTAATATATGGCATTTTTTACAACCATGAAACACCATCGCACGCCAGACGCCTCCCACCCCAATAATATTTTCTTTCTCCTACTACCACAACCTGAGTTTCGCTTACCCTTTATCGGATAATCATTTCGCTAACCACACTACATTTCTACTACATTACGTACTTTAATTGATTTATATTGTATATTGTCCATGTTCAAATCGTGTACTTAATATTAAATATTAACGATTAATATATGGCATTTTTTACAACCATGAAACACCATCGCACGCCAGACGCCTCCCACCCCAATAATATTTTCTTTCTCCTACTACCACAACCTGAGTTTCGCTTACCCTTTATCGGATAATCATTTCGCTAACCACACTACATTTCTACTACATTACGTACTTTAATTGATTTATATTGTATCCATTATAACGTTTTAAAATAATCAAATGAGAGTAAACCCATTTACCTTGTAATTCTATACCAATTTGTTATTTATGATTATAATCTTATACAATGTATTTATATTTTATTGTAAATAATGTCCTCGGGAGATGAATTTATATAAGACCCGGCTTGTTTTCAGATCCCACAATCATATAGTGTACTTTTATAGTATGTAAATATTTATTGAATAAATAGTGTCAGAAAAAAAACCAAAAAAAAAACAACATTGAGCCATATGTTAGGCCCGAAATGGCCTAGTTTGTGCCGAGTGGACGTTAAACCCCATTTCTCTTTCTCTCTAAATACGGAACATTGTAGCACTAAATAATTACCGATTTTTCTTCAACCCTCGTAAGTTAACCGGTCATGTCATTACGTTCATTACGAAAATTTTACGTCTGGACAATTAGTCTCGGTCACCCAGAACCTCCTAGTCTTCAACGTACGGAGGATCAGGGACCGTTGTCAAGTTCCATTGCCCATGCGTAACCGGGAGTTTTTTTTTATGTGGTTGATTATCCAGTATCTTTGGTCAAGTCTTGCAATCTGCTGTATTGTGATGAACGTAAACAATGACGCTAAGACAGGTATTTAAACTGCTTTTTGATTGGTTCGTAGAATCAACCTACGTGGCCAATGAAATCACCAAGGGCAGATAATTTGAATTCATGGAAATTCCGCGAATGGAACCAGGGGTTAGTGGAGTTGAACGGAACAACACTAGAAATACCGAGGATGAATACCATTAAAGGGACAATAACACTCTTGCTGGCTTGAAAGCCCCAGAAAATAAATAATATCTCTATTTAAGTACTAGATGTTTAAGTGTCCTACCTGTTGTGTAAATTATCCATTACATCCTATTTTACTTGTCCAGGGGATTCGAAAATATTTTTAAATCGAAGTTTCATTTGAAAAGGTTTACGTTAGACGTTTCAAACCATTATGTTGAATTTTTCAAAATTTTTAAATAAGGTGTGTTAAGATGAAAATTGTATCATCAATTAATTGAAATATTGTAAAATAGTACAATTTGTTGACCAGAATAAAGATTGGGACATATTATTCAGTTACAACAAGAGTGGTATTGAGCCTTTAAGATGCTGTATTACCACCGTTAACGATTAACTTATAAAATATAAAATTATTTTATTTAAAAAAAACCTTGTGTATAAATATAAAATGTTTGAATTTGTACATACAAAAAATAAATAAGTGCGATATGAATTTCTTGTGGTTCTGAATATCAATCGATACAGATGCTTGTTTGAATTTGTACATATTTCAGATTTGATCGGGGGGAGGCAGGCGAATGGTTAACGTATGCAATGAGTCGAACGGCGTGGTATTGATTCTCCGCTTGTATGTGACAAGGTGTAGTGTCGCATGTCCAACCTCGTGAGTTTTTTTCGGGTCCTCCGGGACCCCCCAACACTGTTACAAACCGCTAGCAAATTATTGAAATGAAATACTCTCTCTCTCTCTCTCCACCGCCCCACTCTCTCTCTCTCTCTCTCCACCGCCCCACTCTCTCTCTCTCTCTTACTGAACTAAAACTGAACCATGTGTTGGTCCCGTAATGACCTAGTTTGTGTCAAGTGGACGTTAAACCCTCCCTCCCCCCTCTCTCTCTCTCTCCCTGAATAACAACCTATACAGCAGATGATTGTTTGAATTTGTATATACATGTCAAATAATTAATACGAGTACATATTTAGCGTGGATTAAGCTGGTGAAAAAAGAGATATCTGAAAACAGCACATGACTATCAACGGCTTTAAAACAATATTAAAAAAAATAATATATTAAAATATATAACATTAAAATCACATATATTATATATTTACAAATGGTAAATAAACCAATATCGTTTGTCTGGAGCGAATTGTGAGCAAAATTTATTAAATCAGATCTCATAACGATCGGGGGGGGGGGGGTCTCCTTATCCGCGTGAGTCTGGGTTTTTTTTTAAATCATAAAATTGAAGAAAAAAAGCATGCAGGTTTATTCCTACTTAAGGCAGTTTCTCAAAGCATATTCTCTGATAAAAGTCCAAACAGCTCTTTATTCAGTGTTCTTAGTTCTTAGTTCTTAATTCATAGTCCTTAATTCTTATTTCTTCATTTGCTGTCGTATTTCGACATTTGTACACTAAAATTAACATAGACAACAAAGAGATTTTATAGAAACTGGCAGTGTATAAGGTGATATATTTATATCAAATTTCGGCATGCTTGTATTGGGAACAATTTTCTTTTTTTTAGAAACGATAAACAATTTGTTTTCTTAATTTGATAGTTCTCGTTGGACCAAATACGATACCTTAACTCTCAAAATAACGATACCTTTTAACTCTCCACAAAAAAACGAAACGATACTTTAATTCCCCAAAAAACGATACATTACTTCTAGTAATTCATTGTAAGTTTATACACTCTTCAAAAATAGAAACGTATAGCCCATTTTTCATCATTTTTTTTATTTGAGCGAGATCGTTGTTTCTATAAATCTTATTTGTTTTTAATGTCATTTTGTAAGGGTAAAAGAAATTCATTATTGGTTTTAAATGTACGGTCACTATATGTGACTGGTCTTACTTTTTGCCGAAATTTGTTCTCACTTGATTGCACCAAGACACATGATTTTAACAATTTCGCAAGCTTTTCGCACGAAACCCAAATCTATGGTCTTTAAAATCACGGGGTTCGCGGTTTCAAAATCAATTGTACATGTAAACACTCAACGAACCAAGTGATGTCACATCTGAACGACGACCAACGCAACAACGCTATAGGTTGGTTACAAGCAGGTGAATCCCAGATAATTAAATGTAGGCAGGGCCGTAACTAGCTCACGGCAACGGGGGGGGGGGGGGGGGAGTGTTCTCAGGGGTGCTGTAAAATTGAAACTTGTTGCAGACCCCCCCCCCCCCCTTAGTTACGGGCCTGGATGTAGGCAGGCATCTGAATGTTTCCAAAAGTACCATCTCTCGCCTTCTGGATAAGTGACCGCCCAAGCTGCGGCCAAAAAAGGGAGACTTCGTCTGCCCAGGATTGTCACATCCGGTTACGTCTTTTTCGGAAACGGTTCACAACAGCGACCTCTACTGCCGCCGCAATTCCTGGACGGCGGAGGAGCTCGGACCAGACAGTCTGTAAACGCCTACGTGAAACCGGATTACGGACCAGGCGTCCCGTTAGAGCTGCTGATTTAAAATACACTGACACCATCAAATCTGACTTCAATTGATTCAGACAAATAGGGTGTGGCCACAGCAACGCAAGAGAACAGGTTAGATCAGGGACGATTAGTGGTACCTGTTACAACGAGGCGATGGTAGAGTGAGGGTATACCAACGACGAAATTTCACTATGCGTTTCTTTTTTTTTTTTGAAGAGTATATTTTTAAAATATGTAAAAAATGGATATATATTACAATATATTAAATTCACAGTAAAAATATAATTATATTACATCTATTTATATTGTAAATCACTGAAAGATGCGTTATGCAAGGTCTTAAAATAGATAATCGGGACTTTGTTTATTATCGCAGCACTAGTACTGGACAATCGTGTCTTATAATTTTGTTAAGGGTAAGGTAATTTGACTGAAATTTTCAATAAATTCATTTGTTATTGTCTATTCTTTTACTATTATAACAAAACGACCAACTTTTTTTTTCTCAAAATATTACATTATGCATCTTTAAATGATACCCTTGATTGACGTCATGATTTGGTACCCGCCAAACCCACGTTTACATAGCGTTGTTATAACTTTGTTGTTAAACCAATAACTTATAAGACCAATTAAATTCATTTTCTCTCAAATGCATAGGTTATGCGCACCATCTTGTTTTGTCATTGGGGGGGGGGGTATTTTATGGACGACATTAAATTCATTATGTTCCCCTTACAGACGGGTATTCACTCCATAGCCTTGATTGTCTTCGCCCACTTGACCGTTGCTGTGGCTATTTTGGTTCATTTCAAATGTGGGGTTGTCGCCATCATACAGTTTGGTATCTACTACATAGGCTTTGTTGTTTTCACCCACTTGGCCGTTACAGTGACCATTGTGGTCCATTTCAAATGTGGGGTTGTCGCCATCATATAGATGGGTATCTTCTACACAGCCGTGATTATCTTTGCCCACTTGGTCGTTACAGTGGCTATTTTGGTCCATTTCAGATGTGGGGTTCTCGCCATCATACAGATTGGTATTAACTAGATAGGCCTGATTATCTTGGGCCACTTGGTCGTTACTGTGATCATTTTGGTCCATTCGAATAGCGGGTTTGTCGCCATCATCATCTTTTTGACGACAACATTTACATTTGGTGAAACATCTATCTATTGGTCTTAAAGATCTCATAGGTTCTTGTAAGAAATACCAGTTTCTGAGAACAGGTGATAAGCACCCTGGTCTCTTACGTTGTAAACAATTTATAAAAGCAACAATGATGCAAAATACAACGATTGGAATCATGACACCGGCCAGCACGTACCACCCAGGAAAGGGGAGCGCAAAAATCAGACCTGGGAAGATGAAAATATAGACAATAGCGAACCATCGATATTTAGCCGTTTGGTTTCCAAGGAATTTAGCTAAAGGAATCGGTGGTCTGAAGAATGGAAAGGGGTAGAATATCAGGATTCCACTGATGTTGAAGAACAAATGACACAAAGCCACCTGCAAGGAATGATGGTGTCCGAATCTTGGGCCAGAGCCGATAAGATACCAGTAGTAGTCGTTCCAATGTTAGCACCAAGAGTCAATGGATACATTCGATCAATTTCAATGACTCCCATACCGACCAAGGGTGTAAGCGTGGAGGTGAAGATAGAGCTGCTCTGCACCAGGATGGTTAAACCAGCTCCCAACAAAATGGCAATGTAACCCGTGAAATAGCCATTTTACCCGGGAACTCGGTGTTGATGAACTTTTTGATTAACGCAGCTAGTTGTCCTCGCAATAACTGATGAAGTAATTTTACCATGACTACCATAGAGATACAGAGAATTGCTAGGGCTATAACTAACAAGATGGCGCCCACTGCCTCTTCGCCAATATGGTCGTCTAACCCATTAAAGACGTATTCACCTGAAAAATAATTATAAATTATACAATTATTTGTTGGGTAGGGGAATGGGGAGGAGGATTGCGTTATTCGAGGTGTCCACCTACCCAAATACTAGGGCAGGAATCATCGCTGCCACGGCCTACCCATTCAGGTCAAGCATGACCCCAATGCTCAACTCACGCATGTGCCTAAAACGATTTAGTCTATGAAACCTCATTACAAATAACGCCCAACAAATCAGACTAGATTTGACCTAAATTGCATGATAATCGAGGCTTAAATACTCCTCTCAGTGCACCATGGAGCAAAAACAAAGACAGGAAAAAATGTGACAATATCTCCGAGAAAAGAAATCGCTACGTGAATGGCAGATGAAGGTTAACTTTAGTAAAGGGATGTAACTCTAGTTCAGACACAAACGATGGCTTACCACAGCAGTATAAGTTTATCAGTCACTTTTAATTCAATGCGAATTATTGAAAAAAAACTGAACCATATGTTAGTCCCGAAATGACCTATTTTTTGTCGAGTGGACTCTCTCTCTCTCTCTCTTCCCCTCTCTCTCTTTTCAATCAGCACGCGGGTTACACAACAACTCTTCCAGATCTATTGTAGTAAAGACAAGGAAAACGAAATTTTGAACTATAAAAAATTGTCTGTTTTTGTACTGTTGTTGAGCTGTAAATTTTTAAATATCCAATAAATATCTAATCATAAAAGTAGTTGAGTAGTTGTTTCTTGTCTCTGAGTATTAAATAATATGACTTCAAAATGTTTGTAGAAATCATCTTGAATTATAGCCTTGGAGATCTTTGCCGGTGTTTTTTTAACTCAGATTGGGGGAAGCGTTCTCAATTCATCTTTGACATGTCGATATTTTACGATTACCAATTTCCCTATTATATTTTGTGATAGTTTATTAAGAATGGGGTATACCGTCCAGTCCACCCTTACCTCTTCTTGTTCTCTTTAACGTCCGCTTCCACCGTTGTCTTATTTTAAAATGCTTACCACGTGCCAAGGTGCCCGGTCAGCAAGAGCTCGAAGCGCGAAACACTAGACCCCCCCCCCCCCCTCGCCTCCCTCCCTTACTGTCATTCCATATTCAAACACTTACATGGCTTGTAACAGGTGGTTGTGTAGTTTGTTGTAAACGCCTTACAATTAAATGTGTCAGTTTCATTGGCGTTAGATGAGTCAACCCAGGATTTAAGGCAGTTGTCAGTAGAAGTGTTCATCGGTGGCTTGAAACAGTTCGCTTGCATCGTATCACAGAACTGCGTCCTCATTGATGTCGTATATTGAGTAATAGTGGAGTTAAAATCGTCCGAACAACAGGATTCCGGGTTTGTCTTATCACAACAGGATTTCATCAACTTGACTGCTTCCGATGAGCTTTTGATTTTAGCGATGTCTGTAATAACTTTACTGTTTACCTATAAAAAAAAGATAGAATAGATATTGCAGTTAAATGTGTGAGGGAACCGCGGTGGTTCATTGAGTAAGACACTGGCTCGCTAACCAAGAGGTCTCAAGTTCGCTTCTGGTGTTGGTTGAGAAAGCTACTCGGGTTTTCCAGGTGGGTTTCCCCTTTATCATTGGTGCCAGACAGGGGCCTTTCGAAGGACAGCGTCTAGTTGTTCGGATGATAAGATAAATCCAGGTTCCGTGTACGCATTGGAGTGTACGTAAAAGACCCTTGCCAGTTGGAATTCGAAAAATGAGTAGGTGGTAGCGCCGCTGCCGGGCAAGATGTCCGCCATTGCACACTGTATGACGTATGTTCGCCTTCATTAGCCGACTTGGGGCAGAAATGTAGGGCAAAGGCGTCAAACCGCATTCCAGTTCAGTTGATGTGTGAAACTAATCGACCCCAAGCGAGAGAGAGAAAGAGAGAGAGAGGGATTATTGAATCTACCTGTCTGATCAGCTCAGTAAAGGGTTTGGTTAAGAGAGAGAGAGAGAGAGAGAGGGTGTGTGTGTGTATTGAATCTACCTGTATTATCAGCTCAGTAAAGGGTTTGGTTATAACTTTCAATAAATCTTTTTTTGCAGCTTTATTTGTCTCCGGGTTCAAGCTTATTATCGCTTTACTTAAATGGAATAAGTATCCTATAACAGAAGTACATATATTATCATATAACATAACCTATCACTCATCTGGACCGTGTACAATCTTTATCTATATTATTAGTACTTCATTTCCATTTGTTCTTTCGTTCCCCTTTTTTAAGTCCCGGGGACCCCGGTGATGCAGTGTATAGTACGCCGACTCGCGAACCAGGAGATCTCGGGTTCGTTGCTGGAGTTAGCCGAGAAAGTTCCTAGGGATTTTCCCGTGTCGTTTTCTTTTGCAAGGGGTGCAGGGCGGATCATTAAGTTTGCTGATAGTTAGACAGGGGGAGACGAGAGGAAGAGAAGAGTATTGACCCCACCCGAGTTCAGCTGCTGCCGTGAAAGAGGGGCGGAATGGTTGTATTATAGTCATGTTCTGTGTTAATGTTATTGTTTATATTCCTTGTGTAGTTTAGTTACTGTTTAATTTATGTTCCTGTTGTATTTATGTAGCTGCTTTATATTCTGTTCCCGATGTAAAAAAATCATATATTTACGAAACTGATCTCTGTTATAACTACTAATAGTGTTACATAATAGACAATTAATGACCCGTTTCATAAGTCAGTATTTGTGGAAAATACTGAACCATTTTTAGACCAGTTTGCTAGGTCTTCGCTAGTCCTAAAAGGACGCGAAATCAAATGAAATGGAGTTTAACGTCCTAATTTTTACTCCGACTGGGCTAATGAAGACTGACTAAAATGATGAACAGAGACGTTCATATAGCTAAGCTACAACTGTATAAAAAAACAAAAACGAAACGAAACAAAGATCTGTATTTTAATCATCTCAAAATTTTGGCTGTCAAATGCATTCAGCCCAGCAAAAATTTTGGGAAAAGTTAGAGGTGAGCAAGGAGGCCAGAATTAACATTGAAGTCAGTGGGGGAAATTAATGGTGGTCTGCCTCCGGATTACGTCACTTGCTGGCCTATTATCTCCCTTTAGTCAATGTGGTTATTCCATAATGGTATGTACCTACTGGCTACAACTGAAAAACTAATAGATTACCTTTGGGTACACGTAATTAAGGGAGATCTCTGGTTTGTCAGCATTAACTAAGCATTGTTGTGTACATGTATATATTGTCCTGTCATATTTTCATTTTTTATCATAGCTTGATAATGACTAGAGAAGCCTAGTCGAAACGTCGCTCAGTTAAAAGCAGTAATTGTATTCCATAGAATTGTGACCTGTATGGCTGCAACTGGTATTGGGTAGTATTGGATAGTCGTACGGTTGTGTAGGGGTTTCCGTTTATGTTTTAAATAGTATGTGGGTCACTAGCGGGCAAGGGATTTCACTTGCATTATGGGATATATTGGGTGTATTGACTACAACGATCTTCAGGTGGGGATGAGCGGTATTTTCATATTGCAGCTGTATATAAAGCGATTGGCCTATGTTCGCTGGCAGTTCCTACTACTTGCAATACAGCTGCAATATGAAAATACCGCTCATCCCCACCTTTGGTCTAAGGCTTATTTGTAATCCTTACCGACTTGCATTATGGGATATATTAGGTGTATTGACTACAACGATCTTCAGGTGGGGATGAGCGGTATTTTCATATTGCAGCTGTATATAAAGCGATTGGCCTATGTTCGCTGGCAGTTCCTACCGCTTGCAATACAGCTGCAATATGAAAATACCGCTCATCCCCACCGTTGGTCTAAGGCTTATTTGTAATCCTTACCGACTATTTCTCACCCTGATTCTTCTTAGCTTGCCAAAGGAATCATTTCTTGTCACAGCTGACACACATTTATAATAATTTAACACTATTTTCAAGCAAAATTTTGCGATATACAACATACACAAAATACGTTTGAACTGATCGGACATTACGAGACTCGAACATGCGCAGACCGTATGTTTATTTAATCGCTAAATTCTACTTGAAAATAGTGTTGAATTATTAGAACTTTGTGTCAGATATGACGAGAAATGATTCCTTTTGCAAAGAATAAACATTCACGGTGGAAAATAGAAGGTAAGAGTTCCAAAATAGCCTTAGAACAGAGGTGGGGAAGAGCGGTATTTTACCGTATTTTCATATTGCAGCTATATAGCAAGCGGTAGGAACTGTCAGCGGACATAGTCCGCTCTGAGACAGTTCCTAAAGGAACTAGGTGGCAGAAGGATCACAGGTTTATGTAAACTGGAAACTCGGGTCGTGGGTAATTTCAGACCGAATGTGACTTAGCCATATAATACAGTTTGAGGACAGGTACAGTCAAGGGGCGTACTGGGCTCGGACCGTCGGATGTGGTCCAAATGAAATAAAATCCATCATCGCATCAACCGGCTAATATAATGGCCTAAATCCAAGGAGAAAAATGATCTATGCGGGGGGGGGGCAATCTGTGAAAATACAGATCTATATTTCGTTTCGGTTTTTTTTATACTTTGGATGGCCTACACTACATGAAGATCTGACGGATTGTAGCGATAGGTCACGTCAGAGGTCACACGAAAGGCTTTTGACTCTATGACGTCAGACATATTTACCTATCAATCAGCATCGATGTTACTAGTGGATTACCCACAGTTCCGTGCAAAACACGTCAATGATAACAACTCTTCCAGATCCTAGTGTAGTAAAGACAAGGAAAACGAAATTTTGAACTATAAAAACGAAACGAAATAGGATCTGTGTTTTAATCAGATTGGGTTTTGGAGAGGTGAATCAAGCTAGTTTTCTCGTCACCGAGATGGAGGCCCACAGAAACAAATTGTTCCGAGGGCCCAGAGCTACCCAGTCCACCCCTGGATAGAGTTCAACAAATAGGGGGCCCAAAGAAACAAATTGATGCGAGGGCCCAGAGCTAGCCATTCCAACAAATAGGGGGCCCAAAGAAACCAATTGATCCGAGGGCACAGAGCTACCCAGTCCACCCCTGGATAGAGTTCAACAAATAGGAGGCCCAAAGAAACAAACTGACCCGATGGCCCAGAGCTACTTAGTCCACCCCTGGATAGAGTTAAACAACGATTTATTGCTACTGTTTTTATTTCAAATTTTTATTATTTTTTTTTATCATAAATATAAACGAATATAACCAATAAGATGCTGTATTACCACCGTTAACGATTAACTTATACAATATAAAATTATTTTATTTAAAAAAAAACAAAACTTGTGTATAAATAAAAAATGTTTGAATTTGTACATACAAAAAATAAAAAGTGATATGAATTTCTTGTGGTTCTGAATATCAGTCGATACAGATGCTTGTTTGGTTAGGAATATTATGGATATTATGACAAAGATCACCGTGTGCATAAATTACCATATAATTAAACAATTACCATATTTTTAAATCAGATGTCCATTTTGATTTTGTTCCGTTTTATTTTACAATTACCCCCAAACGAAACGAAATTTTGTTCCCTGTTATTTTACAATCACCCCAAAACGAAACGAAATTTTGTTCCCTGTTATTTTACAGTTAACCCAAAAACGAAACGAAATTAGTGTTAAATTGCCATATAACCAAATCAGCTGGCAATCTCATTTCGTTTAATTTTAAATATTATACCCCAAAACGAAACGAAATTGCGTTAAATTGCCACATAACCAAATCAGCTGGCAATCTCCTTTCGTGTAATTTTAAAAATTGTACCCCAAAACGAAACGAAGTTGTCAAATTATTTCCAATATTGGGCGCAATTGTGTAAAAAAAAAATCCCTAAGATAAACGCAGGAAAATACTGTGATCTAATTTCAATCATATAGTATCGATTATCAACATTGTAAGTGCATATGAGAAGGCGATAAGATGAACGACAATGCAGAGTTCAAATACCTTATAGCCGTTGGTCGTCAAGTCGGGGATGTTTCATCCCTTGAAAACAACAATGGTTCAATTCCGTTTACAAACATATGGGGAACAGAAACTTCCACAACCCTGGACATCTCTTACAGACAATTTAAACCAAACAGCGCCAAGCGTCGAGGAAATTCCCACAACACTGGGCATCGGCCCCTACAGACAATTTAAACGAAACAGCGCCAAGTGTCGAGAAATTTCCACAACACTCGGCATCCCCTACAGATAATTTAAACAATACAGAACCAAGTGTCGTATATATTCCACAACACTCGGCATCCCCTACAGACAATTTAAACTAAACAGAACCAAATGTCGAGTAAATTCCTTTTGCTGGTACCCTATTCACTTCGACTGAATTCAATAACGTTCATATGTTAGATTTCTTTTCATAATTAAATGACAAATAATTAATACGCGTGCATATTTAGCGTGAAGACGGTGAAAAATGATATCTGGAAAAGCACGTGGCGATCAACGGCTTTATAACAGTATAAAAATAATGATATATTAAAATGTATAATATTAAAATCACATATTATATTACATATTTACAAATGGTAAATAAACCAGTAGCTTTTGTCTGGAGCGAATTGTGAGCAAAGTTCATTAAATCAGATCTTGTAACAAGAGGGAATTTATTTTCCATTGCCATATCGGCCTTATTTTGAAAATCACAAAATTGAAGAAAACAAGTTGACTAGTCATCATCAATCCGCGCCCTTGCATTTGTTTGGAAGGCATAAGGAAAAACAACATCGTGGAATATTAATGGAACTAGTCAGAAGATTCATACTCTGATCACAGTAGTTCGGCAAGGCTGGGTCGCTACTCACTGTAATGTTTGCACAACAACCTTTGCCTACCCCAATCAGCCGCTGTATGTTAAACATTAAGCTTACATACCAGAACATAAAATGCTATAATAGGTTGATGTTTGTATAAAGTTTCAAAAAGATTTCTTGAACGGATAATGAAATATACTCCGGAAACGAAATCGGGTCGGAAGGACGGTCATCAGAAAATAAAATAATAGGTTGATGAATGTAAAAGTGTTATAAAGTTATCTTGGAACAGTTCAGGGATGTGCTCTAGAATAATAATCATATACCAAAAACTACGTCAAATGTGTAATAAAAATTCAGAAATCATTCAACGGCAAAATTTGTTTCCATGAAAACACCAAAATCCGAGAAATTTCTAATTAGCAAAAGGCTACTTTGTCTGTGCAAAGTTTCATGAAGATAGCTTAATGGTTTATGCCCACAAGTGTACACCAAACACTAAGTCAAATTTGGTTCCATTGAAACACAAAGAATACAAATCCAAGAAATTCCTAAATAGCAAAAGTCACAACTGCTGTAATAGGTTGATGTGTGTACAAAGTTTCAAAATTATATCTTCAACGGTTTATGAGATATGCTCTGGACACGAAATCGGGACGGACGGGGCCCATTTTAATATCCTCCCTACCTTCGTTCGGCGCTGGATAAAAAGCAGTCAGGGGGAGGCGGTTTATTCATATTTAAGAAATGAAATGGGGTTTAACGTCCTACTGTTCTTATTCATATTTAAGACAGTTTCTCAAAGCATACAGTTTGGATAATGGACGGTAGAAACTGGCAGTTTAAAGGGTAATATGTTTATATCAAATTTCGGCGGACTTGTAATGGGTACAATGTAAGTTTATATTTTTAAAACATGTATAAAATGGGTATATATTACAATATATTAAATTCACAGTAAAAATATAATTATATTACATCTATTTATATTGTAAATCACTTAAAGATGCGTTATGTAAGGTCTTAAAATAGATAATCGGGACTTTGTTTATTATCGCAGCACTAGTACTGGACAATCGTGTCTTATAATTTTGCTAAGAATAAAGTAATTTGACTGAAATTGTCAATAAATCTATTTCTATTATCTATTTTTTAACTATTGTAGCTCGAACGACCAGCCTTTTTTTTTTATCAAAATCTAAGATAATGCATCTTCAAATGATACCCTTGATTGACGTCATGATTTGGTACCCGCCAAACCTACGTTTACATAACATTGTTAAACCAATAATTTATAAGACCAATGAATTTACGTTTCTCTTAAATGTATTTCGGTTATGCCCACCATCTTGTTTTGTCATGGGAGACGTATTTTATGGAAGACACCAACCCCATAGTATTCCCCTTACAGATGGGTATTTATTACATAGCCTTGGTTATCTTCACCCACCTTCCCATTACTGTGACCATTGTGGTCCATTTGAATAGCGGGTTTGTCGCCATCATCAACATCATCTTTTTGACGACAACATTTACATTTGGTGAAACATCTATCTATTGGTCTTAAAGATCTCAAAGGTTCTGGTAAGAAATACCAGTTTCTGAGAACAGGTGGTAAGCACCCTCTTCTCTTTCGTTGTAAACAATTTATAAAAGCAACAATGATGCAAAATACAACGATTGGAATCATGACACCGGCCAGCACGTACCACCCAGGAACAGAGAGCGCAAAAATCAGAGCTGGGAAGATGAAAAACATGCAGAAAATATAGACGATAGCGAACCATCGATATTTAGCCGTTTGGTTTCCAAGGAATTTGGCTAAAGGAATCGGTGGTCTGAAGAATGGGAAGGGGTAGAATATCAGGATTCCACTGATGTTGAAGAACAAATGACACAAAGCCACCTGCAAGGAATCATTGATGGTGTCCGAATCTTGGGCTAGAGCCGATAAGATACCAGTAGTAGTGGTTCCAATGTTGGCACCAAGAGTCAACGGATACATTCGATCAATTTCAATGACTCCCATGCCGACCAAGGGTGTTAGTGTGGAGGTGAAGATAGAGCTGCTCTGCACCAGGATGGTTAAACCAGCTCCCAACAAAATGGCGATGTAACCCGTGAAATAGGCCATTTTACCCGGGAATTCGGCGTTGATGAACTTTTTAATTAGCACTTCTAGTTGTCCTCGCAGTAACTGATGAAGCATTTTTACGATAACTACCAGGCAGATACAAAGGATGGCCAGGGCTATCACTAACAAGATGGCGCCCACCCCCTCTTCGCCAATATGTTCGTCTAACCCTTTAAAGGCGTATTCACCTGAAAAATAATTATAATTAATTATAAAAAAGAACAATTAAACATGCTCTTACACCATCCTCAGTGAATTATTCTCAAACAATTTTCGACTTATAAGTTTTCGGGGCAAAATAATGGACACGGCGAAGCTACATTTTCATGGATTTCGTTATTCGCGGTATCCACTTACCCCAGTGCTAGGGCAAGAATCATTGCCACCGTGACCTACCCATACAAGTCAGGAATGAACCAATGATCAACTCACACATGTGCATAAAACCACTTAGACTAACGATGAAACCCCTACTAAAACGACCAACAAATCAGATTAGATTTCACCTAAATTGCATGACAATCGAGGCTAAAATACTCCGCTCAGTGTACGATGGAGCAAAAACAAAGACAATATCTTCGAGAAACGAAATCCCTACGTGAATGGGGTGAAGGTTAACTTTACTAAAGGTATATAACTCTAGTTAAGCCACAAACGATGGTTTACTCCAGCAGTATAGGTTCGTCAAACGCTGTTAGGGGTGTGATGCAATCAGATTAAAACACAGATCCTATTTCGTTTCGTTTTTTATAGTTCAAAATTTCTCTTTACTTGTTTATACTACAATAGGATCTGGAAGCATTGTTATATAACCCACGTTCTGGATGATGTGAGGGGTTAGACAATGAAACGGAGAGGTTTTTTGCGTGAGGTAACCAACTAGAAACACCAACGCTGATTAATTAATCAATGTCTGGCGTCATAGGGTCAAAAGCCGCTCGTACGACCCATGACGCGACCTTCCAGTACAACTTGTCAGATCTTCATATAGCGTAGGCCATCTAAAGTATAAAAAAACGAAACGAAATATAGATCTGTATTTTAATGCGATTGGTACTTACATGGCTTGTAACAGGTGGTTGTGTAGTTTGTTGTAAACGCCTTACAATTAAATTTGTCAGTTTCATTGGCGTTAGATGAGTCAACCCAGGATTTAAGGCAGTTGTCAGTAGAAGTGTTCATCGGTGGTTTGAAACAGTTGGCTTGCATCGTATCACAGAACTGCGTCCTCATTGATGTCGTATTTTGAGCAATAGTGGACTTAAAATCGTCCAAACAACAGGCTTCCGGCTTTGTCTTATCACAACACGATTTCATCAACTTGACTGCATCGACGTCGTGTGTGTTCGTAGCGATTTTATTAATACCTTTACTGTCCACCTATAAAACAGAATAGAACAGAAATTTCAATTAATTGTGTCAGGGAGTCGCGGTGACTCGGTGGGTAAGGCAATGGCTGGCTGACCAAGAGGTCTTGGGTTAGCTTCCGGTTTTAGCCGAGAAAACTGATCGGGATCTTCATGCCGGATTTTTCCTTTGTCAGACAGCGGGCGTGACAAGAAAACAGTGTTCGGGTGGTACGGAAATCCTTGGTCCCGTGCACGTATTGGAATGCGTAGCAGGCGACAGCGCCGCTATCCGGGCAAAATTTACCCCATAACATACTGTATAGCGTTTGTCCAGTTTCATTAGCCGAGTGTCGATGCAGACATGTAGGACGTTAAACGCCAGTTCATTTGAGAGAGAGAGAGAGAGAGAGAGAGAGAGTATTGAATCTACCTGTATGATCAGCTCAGTAAAGGGTTTGGTTATAACTTTCAATAAATCTTTTTTCGCAGCTTTATTTGTCTCCGGGTTCAAGCTTATTATCGCTTTACTTAAATGGAATAAGTATCCTATAACAGAAGTACATATATTATCATATAACATAACCTATCACTCATCTGGACCGTGTACAATCTTTATCTATATTATTAGTACTTCATTTCCATTTGTTCTTATAACTTTCAATAAATCTTTTTTAGCAGCTTTATTTGTCTCCAAGGGCAAGCTCTTTATTATTGCTTCACTTAAATGGAATAAATAGCCTACAAAAGAATTACATATATTATCATACAACCGAGGTCCCGTGTATACATTGGCATGCACGTAAAAGATCTCTTGGCAGTTGGAATTCGATATAAGAGTAGGCGATAGCGCCGCTGCCCGGGCAAACTTTCCCACATAGCACACTGTATGGCGTATCCCTGTCTTCATTACCCAGTATAGGAGCAGAACAGTAGGACGTTAAACCCCATTCCATTTCATTTCATTTAGTTTCTATTTATTTTCGTTTACTCTTATTTAAGTCCCCACGGTCGCCGTTAGCGCAGTGTATGTCACGCTGGGTCGCTAACCAGTAGGTCTCGGGTTAGCTGTTGGTGTTGGCCGAGAAAGTTCTTTAGGATTTTCCGACGTCGTTTGGCATTGTCAGTAGTGCCTGATGGCGGACCAGGCGAGGGACTGTCTAGTCGTTCGGGGTGGGGAGGGGGCGCAAACTAAGGCCCCATGTACACCTTTGCCATGAATGTAAAAGAATCGTTGATAGTTGGAATAAGAAGGCTGTAGCAAAATTTCCCTTCATAGCAAACCTTACGGCGTATGCCCGTCTTCATTAACCATGACAGATGATCGGCTAATCGCAGTGCTTTGAAAATATTTTTTGATTAACGTTAATCGACAAGTATTGATTTGTTTGACAAGTCAATTTTTGTAGAAAATACGGAACCATTTCCTGGAACAAAATGCCTATTAGACAGTCATCGTTCACAATTTTGTACACTGCATTGTGCTAAAATGATGCATAGAGACTTTAACAATCTGATTAAAACTCAGATCCTATTTCGTTTCGTTTTTTATAGTTCAATATTTCGTTTTATTTGTTTTTATTACACAAGGATCTGGAAGAGTTGTTATTATTGAAGTGTTCTGATTGATGTAAGGGATAAGCCAATGAAACGGTCTGTTAAGGCGACTTCTTGGCGTGCTGCGTGCACGGAACTGTGAGTAAACCACTGGAAACGTTACCGCTAATTGATTAACCAATATCTGACGTCATAGAGTCAAACGCCGCTCGTATGAAATGAACCATGATGCGACCTGCCACTACAACCGGTCAGATCTTCATTCAGTGTAGGTCATCGAAAGTATAAAAAAAAACGAAACGAAATATAGATCTGTATTTTAATCAGACTGAGACTGTGCTACAACTGTACTTACCAGTTATTATTTCTAGAGGTAATAAGACAATAACAGCTAGCCAATTAAACATATCATGTACGGTGGCCCCGGCAAAAGCTCGTCTGAAATCATTCTTGTTGGTGATCTGACCAAGTGCTACTATAGTATTGGTGACTGATGTACCGATATTGGCTCCCATGATAATTGGTATAGAAGATTTGATGGGTAAAACTGTCAATATAATTAAAATAAAATAATTAATACTGCATAATCTACAGTGTTTGATATATCGTTGATTCATAACCTTAACACAAACAGGGTAATTTCGGGACTAACATATGGTACCGTTATATTTTGGTAATTCGCAGCAGGCGGAGAGAGAGAAAGAAAGAGAGAGAGAGATTGGGTTTAACGTCCACTAGGTCATTTCGGTACTAACATATGGTTCAATCTTATTTCAATAATTCGCTTGCGGGTTGGGGGTCTTCAGTAGTGGGAGAAAATCGGAGAACCCAGAAACAACCTACGAGGCTGGACAGGCGACCCTACCCCTTGTGACGTAATTATGATACAACGCGCACGCGCTAACCATTCGGCCACCCAACTCCCCTTCAGAAGTATGAGAAATGAAATGAAATGAAATGAAATGGGGTTTAACGTCCTACTGTTCTGCTCCTAAACTGGGCTAATGAAGACGGGCATATACCATACAGTGTGCTATGAGAGAAATTTTGCCTACTCTTATATCGAATTCCAACTGCCAAGGGATCTTTTACGTGCATTCCAATGTATACACGGGACCTCGGTTGTTCGTCTCATCCGAAGGACTAGACAGCTGCCCTTGTCAGGCCCTCCACCCTGCATCAATGACAAGGCGAAACCATGCCGGAAAATCGGTATGAACTTTCTTGGCCAATGCAGGGATCGAACACCCGACCTCCAGGCTAGCGAGCCAGCGTCTTACCGACTTAGCTAGGTGATTCCCCCAGAAGCATGAGAGAGAGAGAGAGAGGGAGAGAGAGAGAGAGAGAGAGAGAGAGAGAGAGATAATTCACAGCAGGTCGAAACCTGTAGAATAGGTGAAAACGACGCTGCCGTGGGAAAAATTCGCCTGTCCGTTTTCATGTTAGCATCTAATGCCCCCGTCAGACCGGGTTGGCGTCCTTATTGCGCTGCTGCGACCGTACGGCGACCAGAGACTGCACAAGATCTTCGGCAAACTTGAACACAACGCGCGAAAATGTCCCAAAATTACAAAGTCACTTTCTCATGCTCAAAATAAACTCCGTGACTCGGCGATCATTGACGACCACGGAGACCACAGCACGATTTCAGGCGTTTCCACCATGCTTTTACCACGCCTATGGTGACCTTGACGGGGTCTGAAACCATTCTCCGTCGCAGCACAGTAAGGATGCCATCCCGGTTTGACGGGGGTATTAGCAACAGCTTCTAAAGATTTTTCTGAAGATTGGTTTGGTTTATTGTTTTGAACTTACTCCCAGCACCGACCATGCTGATGATAATAGATGTTGATGTGGAGGAACTCTGTACTAAAACAGTGACCAACACACCCATCATTAAACCAGCCACAGGATTCTTTAAGATATCATTGTTCCGGAAAACTTCGCCAGCTTTCTTACCTAAACGAAAAGAACAATTATCATATTTTTGGCCGCTCGTACAACCCCGGACGCGACCTTCCATTACAACCAATCATATCTTACATAATGTATCTTTAAATACGTGTATATTTCAACGAGTGAGAGAGAGAGAGGGGGGGGGTATTTCATTTCAATAATTCGTTGACTGTCTTTAACAGTGTGTGTGGGGGGGGGGGCGAAGAAAACTCACGAGGTTGGACATGCAATACTACACCTTGTCACGTACAAGTGGGGGATCAATACCATGCCGCTTGACTCATTGCATACGTTAACCATTCGCCTGCCTCCCCACGATCAAATCTGAAATATCCTTGAATTTATACATAATAAAACCTGTTTATTACCAAAAGGCAAGTCCCTGCTTGATGAACACTTTAGAAATAAAATGCATGGCAAACTTTGTTTGGCGACATCGAGTTAATAGAACTAAGGTAACACTAGCCACAACCCATCCAGCACCGCCCCATAAAATATTAAAAAAACATTTCCCTGCACAATAAAACTATGGAACAATTTACCGGAAAACATTAAAACTTCACAAACGTTAAGCACATTTAAATTGGGCCTTTCACGTGTATACCCATTACCTAGACCACCATTATATTATAATATTGGAAATAGAAAAGAAAATAGTATCCATTGCCAATTAAGAAATAAAGCTAGTAAATTAAATAACCATTTATTCTATCATTTTATTAGTGAAACAAAGGTGTGCCCTAGATGTAATGCTACAGACGAAGATAACTACCATTATTTTTTCATATGTCCAGCCTACTCTGCCCAAAGAACAATTCTCCAAAATAATTTACACCACCTCAAACACAATATTACAATTAACCTAATCTTATATGGTAACCCCGATCTTTCAGATGATACCAATTTTAACATATTAAACATAGTGCAAAAATACATTAAAGATAGCAAGAGATTTTAACACTTTTTAATATTTTATTTACAATATGCAATACACTTTATCTGATATAAATTTCATAATCTAAAATGAAAATGTAATACCCTACTATTAGACTCCAAGAAATGTATATATGTTTGTAACTCACTGCCTACACATATGTCCACCATTGTCTATTGTAAACATAAGATATAACTGTTTGTTATGTTTGGAGAGAACTTATATAGGCCTTTGCATGTTGTTCAATCCAGTTCAGTTTATTGAATAAAATATTGTTTAAACATAAACAAAATAAATATTTCACTCATTATTTTATTTCAAGACACGTTTAAATTTTTGCTTGTTGTTGATTAAAGCTTTATGATGGTATACGGCATACTAAACCTGCGCTGTCACTAAGCTAGTTAACCGACATTTTAAGTCTTAAATAGACCGTTTTAGTCTAAAGTATATTTCGAAAACTGTTAGAAGTATATTCTACTTATATTTAATAAAATTGAAAAGGTTTAATCAGTCTTTTTGTGCATAACAGATGTGAACAGGAGTAGAACCACATTACATTATATTTCGTTTGGTTTTTTTAATACTTCACTATAGGCTTACATGAAGATCTGACCGGTTGTAGTGGGAGCTCGCTCCAGGGGTTGCACGAGCGGTTTTTGACCCTATGGCGTCAGACATTTGATTAACCAATCAGCGTTGATGTTTCAAGTGGGTGTTTTGAAATACAGCTACTGCTTTTGCTTCGCTGCGAATGTCTACCTACAGTTCCTTGCACCGCATGCCAAAGAACTCGCCACAACAGACCGTTGCATTGGCTAATCCGTCACATCAACCAGAACGCGGGTTATATAACAACTCGTCCAGATCCTCCTGTAGTAAAGACAAATAAAACGAAATTTTGAACAATAAAAACGAAACGAAATAGGATCTGTGTTTTTAGTGGTTCCCCTTGTCAGTGGTGCAGGACGGAGGGACTGACAAGGACAGCTGTCTAGTCGTTCGGATGGGACGAAAAAGCGAGGTCCCGCGTATACATTGGCGTGCATGTAAAAGATCCCTTTAATCAGATTGGGAGAAGACTAGGACCAACATTTGGGGGTTTTAAATAAACGTTTTAATATGTTTTTATATAACAATTCGTTGAACTAATCATCAATCCAACTAAGCGTCGCGTCACGGGTTCATCAATGGTGTTGTAAAACGAAATGAAATGAGATTTAACGTCCTACAGTTCTTCTCCGACTGGGCTAATGACGACGGAAATAAAATGAAATGAAATGGGGTTTAACGTCCTGCTGTTCTGCTCCAACCGGGATAAAGAAGACGGTCATACGCTGTGAGGGAAATTTTGCCCGGGCAGCGGCACTATGGCCTACTCTTATATCGAATTCCAACTACCAAGAGATCTTTAACGTGCACGCCAATGTATACGCGGGACCTTGTTGTTTGTCCCATCCGAATGACTAGACAGCTATCCTTGTCAGTCCTGCACCACTGACAAGGGAAACCACGTCGGAAAATCCCTAGGATCAATGCAGGGATCGAACACGCGACCTCCAGGCTAGCGAGCTAGCGTCGTACCCACTTAGCCACCGTGGCTTCTAATGAAGACGGATCGTGCTGTAAAACATGGCGAACTTACCACCAAGTAGTTTGAAAGCTGAACTCAGGAAATCCAGAGAACAGATAAAGAAATATAAACAGGCTATGACCAGAATAACACGAACTGTCATTCCAACAACTCGCTTTACTTTGCCAACTGAATCCAGTTCTGGAAAAAAAACAAAGACAAATTGCTTATCTATATATATATACATCACAAAAGATCGAATGTTCGATCCCGGTGTTGGCCGGTCACAGCTACTTTAGAAGGCCACCCGCAGGTTTCTCGGAAGATCCCCACGTCTGCCAAGTTTTTTTAAAACTTTAAGTATATATCCCGAGTACCAATGCAAAATAGATATCAATGTGGATAAGTTTTCCATACTCTGCTAAAAAAAAAGAAGAAATTTCCGTCGAATACTGATAAATTATCTGTATACTGATTTTAACAGAAATGTAGGATATTAAACCTCCCATTTTTGTTTCTACACGAGGACGTCAGTCCGAGTGTTGTATCAATATATTAAATGTCTTGCTCGTGACAATTTAACAATGAAATTGTGTTTAACGTCATACAGTTCCTATCGTGACTGGGCTAATGGAGACGGACATACGCCATACAGTGTGCTATGAGGAAAATTTTACCCGGGCAGCGTCACCGTGACCTACTTTTATTCCAACTGCCACACCAATGTGTACACGGACCTGAGTTTTTCGTCTCATCCGAATGACTAGACAGCTGTCCTTGTCAGGTCCTTTGTCCTGCACCACTGACAAGGGAAACCACGTTCGGAAAATATATGATTGGCATCTTGCCCGTACTTTATTTGAATGTAATGTTATCCCGACATGATAGGATGACGTCACATTTGTATTTTTAACCCTTGTTAAATAGTAAGTCTAGGGTGACCGCACCACACACAAAACAATTACACAAGACAACGTAGGCGATTATAGTTGTTATACGTACCGGCAAAGGGTGTTTGTGTAACGGCGATGGTGGAAACCTTCCATTTGTCCTCTTCTTCCAAATCTACGTCATTTCCTTTATTTATTTTGCCTTTTCTCATGTCACCATTGCCATTTGTATAACCAGGGCCAACTTTCTAATTGTGAAAAAAGACACATGATTATAAATTCTGACGCCATATTGAAAAATGTGTAATTTTGTAAGGCGGCTCTAATCTAATCTTTCATACACACAAAGACTAAACAACCATTTTCAATTTGTTTAAATAAAAGCAGAATAAATAATTCTCAAAATTGTCGATTTAGAAATTTAAATCTGTGTCAAATAGCTTCGCGTCTTATCTCGAGCAGAGCTTACTGCAGACATGTAGCGTTACGTTCGAATGACAATTACAGTAACGCGAATAGAGTGGATACTCAAGACTATGAATACGGTGTTATTTCGCTTGTCGCGTTTTACATGGATACTCAAGACTACAAATACGGTGTTGTTTCGTTTGTCGCGGTTTACAGCCATCCTCGGTATCCCCAGTGGTTTCATTCCGTTCTACTCCACTAACCCCTGGGTTAATCTATGGTGGGGGGGGGACACGTTTTCAAGTTATCCACCCTTGATGACTGTGCTATTTTTATCGGCCAATCCCATGCATCGTTAATTGAAAAGGAAGTTGGCAAAGGGAAGTAACTCTTATCGAACAAGTTTAGGAGATAGCCTAAATGAGAGTAGTTCAAATTTTTCTAAATAAGTACTTACTAACAAAAAATTATATAATATGAAATTAATGCAGACCGGACCAAATTACCATGTATAAGTTCAATAATAATAAACATAACAGAATGAAACATTTCAGATAAAGAACGAATAGTAATAATAATAAAAAAGTCAAACATACATATTTGGAATCAGCTAACATATTACATATTTTGATATTACAACTAATTATAAATGAATTAGAAAATATATACATTATTTACATAAATCATTCAGTAAATGGACATGAATATGGTTATCTACCCTTATAAAAACGAAGGCAAAACGATTGGTTTGTAAACTGTTTTCTGATTGGTTCGTAGACCTTATCTACAATCAAGGCCAGGGCAGATAATTTGAAATCGTGGAAATCCTATGGATTAACCCAGGGTATAGCGGGGTAGAACGGAATGAAAACACCGGGGATACCGAGGATGTTTAAAGCAAGAAGAATATTTAGTGGTGACTTGTAATAGAAGCTGGTATTATCAGAAAATAATTATAATTCAACGTACCCCTTTCTCCACTTCATCGTTATTTTGTTCCTGGAAAACAAAATATAAATATATAAACAACATAGGCCATTTAATAAACTAAAATCCAACAAGTTTTTAATTAGTATCACAGGTTGATGTTTGTACAAAGTTTCTTGAAGATATCTTGAATGGTTTATGAGATATGTTCCGGAAACAAAATTGTACACTCAAAACTAAGTCAATTTTGTTTCCATGGAAACACAAAGAATATAAATCCATGGAATTCCTAAATAGCAAAAGGCGCGACTACTGCAATAGGTCGATGTGTGTGCAGACATTTCAAAAAAATATCTTGAACTGTTTATGTTCCGGAAACAAAATTCTACACCAAAAACTAAGTCAAATTTGTTTCCATTGAACCACACTAAATATAAATCCCAGAAATTCCTAAATAGCAAAAGGCACAACTACTATAACAGGTTGATGTGTGTACAAAGTTTCAAAAGGATATCTTGAACCGCTTGTGAGATATGTTCCGGAAACGAAATCGGGACGGACGGACGGACGGACGGAGCTCATTTCAATATCCTTTTCAAACTTCGTGGAAAAAGTGTCAGTATGAAGATCCCTTATTTAGTATCTCGAAGAAAGTAATGTTCCAAACCAAAGCGGGGACCAAGTCGAACCGTAATGTAAAGCCAACATGACACGTCGAACCGTGACAACGATTTTAATACTGTACTTAATGTAAAGACACCATGACATGTTATATTGTTCCGAACCAATGCGGGGACCGAGTCGAACCGTGACAACGACATTACTGTACTTAATGTAAAGACACCATGACATGTTACATTGTTCCGAACCAAAGCGGGGACCGAGTCGAGCCGTGACAACGATATTACCGTACTTAATGTAAAGACACCATGACATGTTACAAACCTACCTGGAATGACAGGTAGATATAAATATATGACCTATTTCCTTAATTTGACAGACACACGCCTCGTCACTCTGTCCACAACATATTATAATAAAACAATTTACTGGGAGGGTAAATATGTTTAAAAGGTTGTTTTGACTTCTTTAACCGTTTCGTGAATTTAATAATATGAAAATATTTGCTATTGAAATAAACCGTTAAATACCGTTATCACCATCAGGAAAGGGTGTGGTTTGTTTCCCCTTGTCAGTGGTATAGGCCGCACGGCCTGGCAAGCAACAGTCTCTAGTCGTTCGGATGGGACGTAAAGGAACCCTTGACAGTTGGATTTCGA